CGGGGATAAAGATTGCTTGAATTTCATTTCCAGCGCTGTTGTAGTACTAGTTGTAGTAACGGTGTTGTGATAACCGGTGTTGCTACATTTCTTCTCTAGTGTAACACGGGATATTATGTCTCCATTTCAGAGCCCGCCAGACTAGATCTAGGCTTACGTCCAAGGATTTGTATTACTATAAAGAAGAGGATACATTGAGTACCGTAGCACAGTCGACTACAAGGTAAATGTTTTAGTTGTATAGTATCGCACTTTATTTTTCTTTGATTTTAAATGTATGTTTTAAGCCTCGTGTTGCAGCTATGTCAATTCTAGTGCTGGATGTAGGCCACGTACGGTTCTTCCTACAGTGGCAATGTAATCTTATGATATCACTTGAATCAAATATGCCATTTTTTATTTTACATTTCGTACAGTATCGGTGTGTAATAAAACGTTTTATTGTCGTTTCCGCTGAGAATTAAAAAAAAACAGTTGTTAAAATTAGTTTTTTTTTTCTTCCGCAATTATCCTCTCGTGGTTGAGTGAATATTTACCACTGGTAAGCCTACTATATCACGGGCCGTGTCCCTCGTAGATCTTTTCTTGTTAGCGATTGCAGACACCTGCCGTTTCTACACCAAGCACTACATACATTATGTCAAGCTCTTGTTTCTCTCCCATTGACTACTACACACCTCGTCCAACAAGCCAGCTGGGGTGCATTTATACTTTAAACACCTGAAAAAAGTCTGGACTCGCCTGTATCATCACATCAGCTTTGCCTGTACCACCTATATTAATTGCTACGCTTATCTTCTAAGTGGGTTAAGCAGCCAACATGTACGACGAGCTAAAGGCTAGCATACGTTTAATAGCAGTAAAAAAAAGCCATGTATTTCTTGTACGGTATTTTCAGGGCAGAAATCGAAGTCATGTTCCAAAAATGTTACTAAAACAACGATTCCCAATACTAGTTAGCTGTGAAGATTGGGCAACATAAGTTTTGCTGACTAAATGAACCAAATTCCACGCGGTTTGCCGACTGTGGTTCTGCGTCAATTTGATTTTTAAAAGGTTACCAGTGATTTGTTCCCTTTATTCCGTCACTTTCAAGTACGTTTGATAACATTTTATATTTAATTTCGATTAAATATGTAGTGAGAAATATGGGAAACTTGCGACAGAGCACGTTCAGGTGTAACATTGTGAGTATCTGACTGATGACTGCGCAATCACTTAGGCGGCTCTCAGACATTTTTGTCAATATTGCAAAAGGTTAAAGCAATTTTGAACCTCGTTTCGCAGGGGTGATCAGGAAGCGTCTTATCAGAACTGGAACCGAGTTTCAGTCATTAAGTTTTAATGCGCTTGTATTGCAGGTATGGTTTTCGCTAATCAGCATCCAGTAAAAATGTTCACAAAGGGCAAACGTCGATGTGGCCTGTGTTATGCTTATAGGGTCCCGACTTTTTTAGTCAGTCTTCAGTTCTTTCTTTGACACAGTTTTAACAAATGTATTCTACAAGCATCTATTTAAATAGTTTATTCCCTGTTTTAAGGGCGTATCAGTCGTTGGTTGACTGTGGTTTGAAAGACTCTTTATTACGAAAAATACGGGACGTTCATTTTCTTTCGGCAGCCGTATTTCTCTAGCTGCACTGCGTGTATTGTTCAGTATGCAACATTGCAATACTGTCACGTGCATTAGGTGTCAGTCAGCTTACTAAAATACACTCTTGAGTCTAAACAATAACATTTATAGGAAATAGTTTGAGGGAAATGTAGTTCTGTTGCTTTTGTTTTGAAGTCACAAACATAATAATATTCTTTTTTTTGGGTGGTATTCACACGTCTTCAGTGCGCAGACGTCTTCTTCGGTTTGACATAATGGCGGGAATTTGAATTTTGATAAACTATTCTATTTCCTTCACTAAAAATTTCTCCGAAGTACAACGCGTGCGTAAAGAGAGTAATGGGTGTTATGGTTTTTCTTAAACACTGGTAAAAGATGTGAAAATGTCCATTGGACAGACGCTATAGCTTCCATTACTGCTGCTGACTTTCTGTTCGCTGAATGTGTCCGCAGTTTGTAATAGAGAGAATAATGCTCTTAAATGCTCGGTGTCAAGGTTTAAGTTCGTTTAAGGAAATCATATTTTCATTTCTATCTTACTCTTAGCTACGAGTAATACTCTGTCTCACACATAAGACAACCTGCGACCTAGGAGTTCTATATTTAGCCACCTGTTGATGTTTTTCATAGCCAAATTTTTGTAATCACGAAAAATTCAACGCAATTGTAAAATGTGTTTGTTTAGTATGATATCACTTTCTACAGTTCTAGCATGCAGTTGTTACACGTGCTAAAGTGCACGCACTTTGCTATGGGAGGTTAAGGGCGCACGATCTAAAACTCACGAAAATCACGCAAAGTTGCCGTAAAGATTAAGCCCTCACCATTATGCAGGTTATTTATAGAGGCTTTCGCAGCCTTTCCAAACTGTCTTGTTAAAAAACTCTTTTAAACTTCTCGCCAGCACGCGACTGAGAATTAACCTTCATTACCACGACAGATATTTATAACTTTCAAATACCTGCCTTTCTCATCCGGCTTACCATTTGACAATCAATGAAGTCCTTCTTTATCGGCGTTAAAAAACAAAATTGATACCATTCATTGATAATAACGAAAGAAGTTGATGATCACACCAGAAGTATCTCTTACAGAGGAACAGCGGAAGCCAGCAATAAAAAATAAAGGATATGATTTATTCATCAAACCACACAGTAAGCCCTGTAACTAATTACCGTCTCATTCAACATTGTGAGGCCGGAGAGATGGTCTAAAGTCAACGTTTGTTCGTAACACTGCGGGTGCAAAGGAAGCAATCACCACCTCATTAGATAGAAAAACAAAGCCCTTCTGCGCCGTGAACAGAACTGTGACAACCTGCCGGAAGGATATGGGGGGAAAAGATCGAGAAGAAAAAGTAAAGAAAACTTTGAGACAACAGCTCGAGAAAAAAGTGTAACAAAAAGTGAAGCTATTTGTAGAGTTTGTGCTTACGTTGCGGTTCGTTGTCATGGTGTCTAATAAAAGTGTCGATTGTTGAGACTTCGGGGCATGATGTTAAACTGATACACTCGAGGAATCAATCCCAGGAAGCACTTTATGTCACTGTGCCCTTGGTAGAAAGAACGAATGAAAACAAAATATATTTTAATCTGATAATTTGCAGGCTAAGGCTCTGATCGGTGGGTCACAGAATTATGGAATTAGTGGAAGGGTATTATCAAAGTACAATAGCAAAAAGCACGTGTTTCCTTTGGTGAGAAACTCGGTCGTTCACTGTTTAAAAAGTTTTTTTCTTTTCAAGATAAACAAACTCTTGACACTGTCTCCGTAGCATTGTGTGCCATTTCCTCATCCAATTACCGCATTAAGCGCCATTGCGTGCCTGTTTGTGGACGCAATTAGCTGCTCTCGACTCGTGCTCAGACGTACGGCTTGTCGACCATTGATTAACACCCGACACTTAATCCTTGGTTAGCAGCAATACCGTCACCAACACAGGATTCATACGCACCTGTGTTTACCTGTATTGACATAAAAGAAAAGGAAGACGACATCTTTACTTTTGCCGAGAGGGGGCAGCACTTTCTATGGCTTCTATCGTTCGAGCCCATATCTCTTCTAAAACATTTTTGCTAACGACTGTGTTATATGTTAGTTCCTTTTGCCATACAATAAAAACGAATGCTTTTTACCTATTGATTTTTTCCAAATGCCTTTTCTAAAATTATTTATACAGGCAACTAGTATTCCAAACCATATTTAAATTACACCTAGTATTTTGACTGCACGATAATACGCTCTCAGTCAGAATTCTTTATTTATTCGTCACAGTCTCGAGTTTAACCGCCGCTAGGAGAAGTATTAGCTTTTCGTCATCTCAACAATTAAACGTTACTCGTTCGCTCGGCACAAAATCCTTAATCCACCGAGCTGAAGAGTAAATCACATTAAACCCTGGTAACATATCCGCCAACATCACAACAGATACCACCATATCAATTGGAGAAACTCAGTGACGCAAGACAATGGCGAAGTTTTCACATGCCTTGCGCGTCCAAACGTGAAATTGCGAAATATATTTTTAAAATTCCCATTCTTCATGGGGAAAATGCGCAGAAGACTTCACAGAGAAATAACTGACATATTTTCCCTTGCAACAAATGTACCTATTTCGGTAAATACCCGCTTAAAAAAATTTTTCTCTATCACTTCTGGCAATTTTAGTGTGATAAAAACTTGCGGTTTCTCAATTGTATGTGCGCCCTTGCGTGGTAAAAGAAATTCCGTCTGTCACACTTTAATGGTACGTCACTGAACTGCAGACAAAGATAGATTATTATACCCAGTCCACGTGAGCGCTAAAAACGAATAAGTTCTGAAGATTGTACTTTTTCATGACCTCCGATAACATTTATCTCTCAAACTGTCTGTCGAATAATTATCGATTCGCAAAAATGACTTAAATCTTTTAGATTTTTTGTCTGGAAAATGTTTTTTTAATGAATTCAGGTGGGCTGTCTGTGTTTGTATCATGAACTGAGCGGGTCTCCCGATGTGTTACTTGAAACAAAAATTGTTCATTTATTTTAAGATTGGAAATTAGATTAACAATTAGCTGTAGCAGGCCCAGGCAAGACGTGTAATATCACGTAATGGACTAAGTCCTCGTTGCGTGCGTTTGAGCCTACAGAGGATGCAGGTGCGAGTGGCCTCGCTGTTGGTATTAATTACCGATTGTTTTACTGGCCACGACACCTCTTGAACTGCGATACACAGTGATAATAAAGTAAGGATAAAAGCGTTAAAGCAATATTGATGTTTTAATCCAAATCGGGCATAATGCGTGTTCACGAGTCGGGGTCCACGAGCCAACGCTGTCTAAACTGGAGTAGGAGGGTTGGGGGAGGGCTTTTCGCAGGCTCATATTTCTTTTGCTACAGTCTAGTATGGCAGCAGGTTCTTAAATGTAGTATTGAGACCTCAGTAAGTCATTCTGAACTACTTGTCCAGTTTTCCCAAGGGGAAGGAATGCGTCTGGGCTCAGATGTGGCGATTAAGTTTTCAGCACATTCGTTCAACACACCCTTGAAGCCAGCCCGGTTGTGCTGACTCCGTGATTACTGTCAAAATGTTTACCTATAAGATATTTATCAAAAGCTCGTGTTGCCAATAAGCTTAAAAGGCTGAACCAACGGAAGAGGCCCATCAGTCCTTTACAGCAAGTGACAAGAACACACGTATTCTTTATACACGTAATACATCGCGACGACACACGACGACAGTCACTGCGTGACTGAGTAGCCTCCCCAACACGGACATCTGAAGCGGTCACGCACTGGATAGTCTACGGCCTTAATTTACAACTTCTTGCTTTTTACCAACGATTTGTCTTTGGATTTTTAGTTCATCTTTTAACAGGTAAGACATTATTTTGCGAGATTACGTATTTTAAGAAACTGCTTAAGTCGTATTGAAACCTGTATGTCAATGTGCTGACGGCCCGCGACTGCCGTTCGCGTTCGATCTTATCTCTTTCACGATTTTAATCAACCGTTGGAACGCTAATTAAATATAAGGGTGACGACAGAGGCCTTTTGTTCGTTTAACTGCAGCGGGTGAACTGGAAGATGAACAGGTGAACTTCAGGTGGACTCGGTTTACATGTTTGATCGTGCTGCTCGTCGTGTAGGTCCCTCTCTTAATTCATATTTTTTCTTCTGTCCCAGTTGTTTCAATAAACCCAGCACTTGACTGAAACGCTCAGTAGCCCTCTTTACAAATTTCTTGTGATTGGAACAAAAACAATATTTTACTTCTCCAAACCTCGTACTTAGTTCTTTCAATATTTTTCTACTGAATTGCCGACGGTCGAAATATGCTGAGTATTCGTCGATGTTTTTGGAGAAAATTCGGAGAAATTTATTGCACGTGCCGGACAGTGTTATGATATATCTGTATACCTGCCTTCAAAGCCAGAACTAGGCGTGTGGGGAGTCTTTTAAAGCGTAATGTGTTTTAGATAATTGGGTTTTAGCGGCTTTAACTTACTGTTACGTTCACTCTTTGTAACGTAAGGACAACGGGAAAGCTCTTAGTTCCAAGTGGTTTTAGATTAGCGACAGTGTTGAAAACAAAGAGTATCAGAATGGTCCAAGCCTGTATAAACAGTTTAACTTAACATTAAAGAAACACTTCCTTTAACTCGAGAAGGCTAACAGATTACAGAGTCAATGACTTCCGGTTCCATTTCACAGACAAATTAGTTAATAATGCCTGCACATCATAATTGATTTTTAACAATAAAAAGGACGTGTTGAAATATCTCCAAACATCAAATACAGCTGTGTACCATGCTTTAAAATGAATAGGATAAACATCTGAGCAGATAACACGTTTACGTCATTACTCTTGTCTTAATGAAGTGGTCAATAACGTCCTTGGTCCCAAATTAGAGAAAAGGGCTCGTTGACTTTTTCGCTCGGTTGAATCACAAGAAATGGTCTCTGCTCCGATATATTGTGTTAGGGTCTAATCCGCGAGTTAGAGACTTGCTGAACGTCGCCGTTATTGTTACAGAGATTGTCAAGTACATTGAGAAGAGAGTTCGGTCTCCTCGCTCGCTTTCACACTGTTTGTGTGTCGTAATTGGACAACAAGTCTGGCCATAATACTACCGGCTTAGGCTACACTGACACCGACTTAAAACCGTTAAAGCTTTTCCTCGTTTTCGACAGTCCCAACAAAGCCATAGCGAAACCACGAACAATGCCACCACAAAGGTTGGGTGGACCGCTGTTAGTATTTCCCAGATTAACCGTATTTGCGAATTGAGAGAAGTTGAGAGCGAGTTTAGAGTTGACGTTAACCTCACCCTCCCGAGGTATTGAGGCCGCTTTGTCCTGCACCTTGCCACAACGCTCCGCTCATTAAGCAGTGTTGACTACTTTTCCCTAAGGTCCCGTTGCGTCGGGCGTAATCCGTCGTTTTTTGAAAGCGAGAAATTTGTACATAGTCGCTAAGGTTCGAAAATATTTAGATTTCATCTTAACATTTTTTCCACAAGCCTCTTAAGCGGTGTGCTCACCCATCAAGTCAAGAGCAACTCGATACACGAGGACCTGTCGATCTGTGCAGTCGTTTGTCACGTATATTCACGGCGCAGTGCCCAGACTTCTGTGTTAGAAAGAGACCCCGAGATCGTTGCTCTTTTCAGGAAAAATGAAGTGTACTTGAACCTTCTTAGGAAATTATCACGTATCAGGTCCTTTCGGTTTTCTTTGTCGGCGGCCGGTGAGGTGTTTAAGCCTTATCCAGCCAGTAGAATGGTTGAAGGGAATCGAACAGGTAACGGTACACCTTGATAACGGGGACCCGGGGGACACGGAGATGTTCAGGTGAAGAGCAGATTACGGGGACAATGCATGGCTTCCCGCTGATCAATTAACTTTCACTTTGTTCACTGCTTTGATGAAAGGGCCGCCCCCCGTTGCCGTCAACACGTACCTGCAAGGCGTCTTTAAGCACTGATTAAGGAAACTTCCAATAGAACGTAGGGATTCCTAATTCTGTATGATCAAATAAATATAATTGCAAGAAAATAGACAACACCACAATATTGCCCTAGCATTCTTTGTTGTTATTGATTTGTAAATTTTTTTAAGTAATACAAATAGGAACATAAGCATGTGCGCTACTCATGTCGGTCGGTTTCATTATTTCAGTAATCTATAATGTGAATTATGCATTTAATTATTTCAATGATTTTAATTTCATTTTTGTTTGTTTTTTTTTTTTTTTTATGATAGCGATTTCCTCAGTTTTTAAAATCATTTATTTTATTTCAATTTATTTTTTAACAAATATTGTGATTGACGAAGTCCTATTTTCCCTTATTTCTATTCAGGATCCTAGTTCTTTTTAATTTTATTTTTCTTAACATTCTTACATTCCTCATTCTCATCTCTTTTCACGGCAATCGTCCTTGTCCCAAACAACGCTAATTTTTGTACTTAATATTTTCCGTCAATTACATCCTCAAACACCGGTTAGTGTTTAAAGTAGAAGAGACATTTGCTGTGTACAAAATACATATATCTTAGTTTAAATGATAGAATAATTTGAATTATATCGTAATGCGCTGATGATTGTCTTGAGTGGTGACAAAAAAAAAAACCTGCCTGCTGGCAAAAACTGCAAACGTGCTGCTTTACCAGCTCCCTCTTCGAGAAGTTCTTGAATAAAAAAAAAAGGAATTGCGATAAGCATTAATGTCATTCATAGTGAAGCCACAGATTCTAAATCACTAAAACGTTTGCCCCATGTTAAAAGATTTCGCACCTAACGTGTGCCAGGTGGACTTTTTAAGTGAGCCGCTCCCCCCGTACTTCTTAAGGTGGGAGTTCGGGGGAGAAGCCGGCAGCAGATCTTATCTTAACGACAGTTTTTATCAATGAATTACGGATCACTTTATTTACTGTCGATCAAACCTGTGAAGTGCATGGCTTCTCCCGGCCCGTCGCTCCTGGACAAGAAGATCAATTAGTAATTAAGAGCTAATCGGCCAGGAGCTCAGGTAGGATATAAGCAGAGCCGGTGCGTGTGGCGGGTATCAGTCTCTGCTTGTCAGCGCTGCTATCAACAACTAGTGACAATTATCCTAAGTTATCCCACGTTATCACTGCTCTTTTACAACTCTCCACTGAACCAGTGACAAGTGCTACATAGGTGTCAGACTTGGAAATCCGTCCACCCACCTGCCCGCGGCTCTGAAGCGTTAAGGTAAGGCACTAAGCCACGAGCTAATAGCTACGCTTATAATTTGAAACTTGTCGGTGAATCAATTAGAACCGTTATTTTTGATAGGCCACTAGTTGTGATAGGTATTCCGGATAACATAACATGTCAGGTGACTGCCAGATGAAGAACTTGTCTAATTGATTTTGCCGTTTGCGAGGTATTTTAAAAAGGTAATAACGTTAACGAAGTTCTTGTCGTATACCACAGCGGTGGTCTGAGATAGTGCAAATGCCCGTACTGATTAAAAATGTCAAGATTTTTCGTAGAATTATCTTAGAAGTATATTCATCTGGTTTGATGTGGAGGGTCATCATAATGCTCTCTCACGCCTCCACCGGAACAGTTTTCTAGCTCGGGCTCCGCGGTATCTAGTTAACTAGGCCGGGGGTATGATATGACCCAACAGACCTTACTTAAGGCAGTGATACGTCTTAACTTAAAGTGTGAATTTGTTTGACTATTTGTGACAGTGTTTGCTCGTATGATAGCAACCGTGGATGAGTAGGCAAGAGAACGAGCTCTAATGGCGCAATAAATAGGCACCATTTCCCTCTTATAACTTTCGGTTGAAATTTCAATGAACTTTGATTTCGCGCGAATCTTTTCAACCTTACCGCTGGCACTTTTAAACGTGTGATTTGTTTCAGAAACAAGGTAATCATGGTTATAAGTGTAAATTGTGAAATTGTTAGATGGTAACAGATGTAATTTTCTAAATTTTGAGTAGATAAAGTGAATGATCAAACTTTTAAAAATTCTTATTAACAGACTAAAAACCAACGCGTAGGTGCAATGTTTTAGAAAGTTCTCCAGGAAAATCACCACATTTTCTTTAAATTGTCCGTTTGATATGTTTTCTTCGTCTACAGTTATGCCTGGTAAACATGGAGATTGAATAGCGTTGAAAGTAAATTTATGTTATGTTGATCTGTAAGATGTGTACGTTTCTTAGTCATTTGAACCCGTAAAGCTTCGTACAGCACTTAAACATTTTGAGCCAGCATGAGCACGATGAAATGAGAACCAATCGGAAATAATTAACTGTCGATATTGGATAATTAAGGAAAAGAGTCATCGGGGAATGTTTAAATAGTTAAAGGTTAGAAAACCACAAATACGTCAAAAGTTATGTCTCTAGTGACATTTTCTCACCAGTCCATGCAAATAAAAGCTGACGCCCGTGTACATCAGCCAATAGTAAGGCTTTGAAGTGAGTCGTATTGTTAGAAATTAGCTATTTTGTCTTTCTCGTGTACTCCGAATATTTTGAGAAACTCGTGCATAATCGCCCGCGCATAACAAACTTTGGCTATTTTCCGTCTCTTGCGTCAACAAATTCAACTGGGATTTCGAAACGGTAAGAGATTGATAAAAAATCAGCATATACCCTTGCTCACTTGGTATATATATTTGCTTTGATTTCGTTCGAGCATGCACGAGCTTGTGGAAAAAGACTAGTTTCTCCTGTTTTTAATGTTTTTATCTCTAAAGATCCCGTGAAACTGTTCACGGACAGTAGGTTTGCAAGTGATCACATAACTCGTAGGATTAACTGGACTTTTTTTCTGATATGGTGTTAGTGACAGTGTAACATCGCCCTAATTCGTCAACTAAATATTTGTCGAACCCCCAGTGCTCATAGGAAAAGTAACAATCTTTGGCGACTAGAGCAGCTTATATTCCTGGGTGGGTTGAATAGGGGGGGTTAACCCGGTATCGTATGGTCTCGCTGGCATGCGATGTCACGGCGTTCTTCCGTCACCTGCTATCGTGATTGGCACTTGTCACGATTTCTCCCCGGAGGATGAATGCTCGTCAAAGTGTCGTTTTCTTGTCCGGAGATGTACCTTTCAAGTTGAAGAGATGTAAATTTCATGTTTTCGGTTGTAAATTTCATGTCGTGGCGTGTACAAGGATCGTCTGCTGCTTTACTTTGTAATCTCAACTCGGGGAAGGACGCGTGACGGAATGTGCGCTCGAAACTCCCGCATCAGCCAACTTTGTTATTGCTGCTTCGAAAATATCGTGGTAGTTGTTTGGTTATAATAATGACGATAAATTCTTAAAGCTTTAAATTTTTGTACACGGTCTCGTTGATTTCACTTTACCAAGCTCGCACGATGTCTCGGAAATTCTTCTTGTGAGTTTATCACTCTTATGTCGTCAACATTTTTTTCGTTATAACCATACCTTCCTATTTGGAAGTGTCATCAATTTCAAATCGGTACCTGAAAATCGGATATGTAGCTTTGTTTTTGTCAAAGCAAAACATGGAAACAGTGTCTGCTACCCGTTGTGTGCTCGGAATATTTGCTTAGTTTCGCGATTTGTAGTGTTTGCATTACTTAAGTTAAGGTGACTATGAACGATAAGGTGTAAGCCTGCCGAGATTTAGGTTGACTTATACGGCATGCCATTACGACTTTTTAATAACGATTTCATTGTCCCCAAATCCTCAAGTGGTTGTGCCGCTAACTGAGAGTGCACCGCGTGTACGGCGAGCTTACACTTTCTAAGATGGGAACGATAACCGAGCAAGTACTTGACGATGGGGTTTTATTTGAAGTGCTCAATACATTTATTCGTCCTCCCTCCACTTTTTCTTCAAATTTACACCTTAAATGTAATTTATCTTAGCACCATGTAAGTGCCTTAATCGAAGGTTGGTCGTGTCGATTTGGATAGCGTCACAGATGGGGTTTACCTTTGACCAGAACAAACATAATTAGTAATGATGTAAAAAAAAAAGATCGCGAACCAAGACCCTAGGTTTCGTTTCAGGTCCTCGTCCGCTTATTGAATCAAACCCCGAGATTCTCTCTGTCTGTATAGCACATTGTCTCAGTCCAATGACCCCAGTCTTCAAAGGCTTCGCACAAATAGTGTGCCCGTGCGTGTGGACATAGTTAGTTTAATGCGTTAGGTGAAAAGGATGGAATGATAGAAAGAATTCTGCGATGCGACAGGAATTTTAAAGAAATCGACAGATTGCTGCCAGGGTTCATTTCCATTGTCATAGCGTCTGAATGGACAGCATATACCCGTCAACCGATCAAATATTGAGACAACCCTCTAGCCTCGTCAAGCATTAGTTGTTTTCAGGATTTCCAAATACTACAAATGAATGATTTTAATATATACAGTAAAATTTATCACTTAATAACGAGGAAATGAACTGGTTAAATTTGAATTTGCCCTCAGTAAACACTGGAATGTCAACTTTGTCTTCATTTTTCTTTGAATTATGATTCTATTTTTGTATTTCAACTACGAGCAGTACATTCCTGCTTAGGAAGTGTCACAAGGATGCATTTACAATGAAACAATCATACCGGCTTTTTTTAACTAACTCTGAGGAGACTTTTGCTGAATGCAATCAGACAAAAATTAACATGTTTTCTCCCTTCATTTAGTAGAATACAGAAAAGTTGTTAATTATACAATACTTGAAAACAAAAGATGTGTTAGTCTGTGAATCTGATTGCATTCGAACTACCTAAGGCGAGTTTTATTGTGAATGCACCCATATACATTAAAGTCAAACACATTTAGTTTGTATATTCTGATTGCCAACATTAATATTTAATTTGAAAGGAATATTTCTTGTGTTATTTGGTTAAACAGGTACAACAAATTACTTAATTGTAGTTTGTCTACTTTAAGATCTCAAGGTTTCATGTGAGTGAAGCCAACATGAAATGGAGGTCACACAATGATGTCAGCATATTGTTTGAATGGGTTTAAATATTAAAGAAACATTTTAATTTCTTTCCAGATCTATATACATTTACTAAGCCATGACAATGAACTATTCTCAACTGGGCCACATCTTTGTCTTTCTCCTGGTGTTGGAGGCAGTCTGGGCAGAAATGATGCACATGCAAAGAGACTTCAGGGATGCTTCTAAGTTCAATATCTACCGGAAATACCAAAATCAAGTAACAGCTAGCATAGAGGCTATGGGAGAAGTAGGTTCACAAGTTCTGTAATATATTTAGAAAACAATTCATCTAGAAGATAGTAGAATTAAAAAATAAGACATTTGTAAGCATGTAAAGATTATGAAATTAAGATTTGTATTCAACCTTTCTTGGTATATTTTTACAGCGTCTAGAACTTTATTTTTGTCACTTTAGCATGACTAAGTGCCTTATTTATATAAATTCATCTTCCTTTCACAGGAGTACCTGTACAAGTTTGACTACATGAACTGCACGACCCCAAGTCTGAGGCGTAAACGAAGAGAAATTCCCAGGTTTGCTCGCAGTATGGTATTACCTTATAAAATTAGACCCTTCAAAAGCAAAGTTCAGGAAGTGATCGATGCTGGCTCAGAATCTGACTGCTCTTTGGAACAAAAGAGGAAGGCAATCAGTAAACTACAAAGTACTTTCGGCCTCAATGTGACAGGAGAGCTGGATGAAAAAACACTAGCACTAATGAGGAAGCCGCGCTGTGGTAACTCTGACAAAGACATTATCAAAAATGTTACAGCTCTCATAGATGATACTGAAGAAGAATTGAGTGATACAAACACCACTGCCACCAGTCTCTTTAACTCGGCAACCAACGGTTCTTCAAACAACACCAGTGGAACAACACCAGCCCCTTCTGAAGATGGCACCACTGTAGCCTCCTCATCCAGGCAGAGCATCCTTCTTTCTACCATTGCTCCCAGTTCTTCTGAGCCTGACAATTCCTACACTTTGAGACATCGAAGAAAGCGCCAGGTCGACGAGATTATGCAAAGACTGCAGGGTGAGACTCAGCGTGAACTTGAAAAACGAGCCAAGATTGTGCACATGGTACGCAGACGCCGTAGGAGATCTGCAGTGATGACACAGCAAAGACAACCCATTGGTCATTTACAGGGCAATGATCGTGTCGTTACATGGCGCCTGACAGGCAGTAGCAGTCATATAGATGTCATCTGGTTGCGTGCACTAATCAGCATGGCCTTCCGCATGTGGTCTGAAGTTAGTCCTCTGAAATTCCAAGAATTACCAGTTGGTCATGTTCAAGACTTGGATATCTCCATTTCATTTGGAAGATGTAAGTTTAAGATTCAATAATGTATTAGCATGCTCATTTTCTTTTATGATAAAAAGGAGCATCTTGTTACCATGTTCAACAGACTACATACATTTCATCCATCTTAAAGCCTGAAAAGCCATGTTTTTATCATTTCAAAGTTAAAGACATATGCATAAATTTAACAATAATCTAACACAATATGAAATGTCCAGAAGTTTTGATTCCAATTTTTTCTTTTAATTTCAGCGGTTCACAACTGCCCCTTTGTGTTCGATGGCCCAGGTGGTGAGGTGGCCCACTCCCGATTATTTTCCATTAACGTGGAAATCCACATGGATGATGATGAGAACTATGTGAACCTACCAGCAGGCCCTACCAGTGGAAATGAGGTGAATACAATGGTGGTGTTGCTTCATGAGATTGGTCACAGCCTTGGCATTCAGCACATTGCTCATCCCTTTGCAGTAATGGTGCCACTCTATGATGTAGCAGGGGCCACCGTTGAGCTGAGTGAAGCGGATAGGAACGTCGTGTTAAGAATGTATGGTAAGTAGCTATGGGAACTGTGTTCATTGGAAAGAGTGAGAGTAACATTTATTGACAGGTCTTGTTAAATATTCTTGTGAAATATTAAATAGGTGATTTTTTTTAACATCTCTTATTTCTAAACAGAAGTATATAGCTTTCATACAGTGATGCATTCAAGCTTTTTTCCATTAATTAACACTTGGTACATTGACAGAAAACAACAAGGCCATAATATGTATTCTCTTTCCTCCCAGGTCCGTGCACTTCCAAGATGAGTACAGCTTTTGACTGGGTTAGGGTACGTCCTGATGGCACCGTCTTCTACAACACATACTTCTTCTCTGCCGGCTCCGCATACTGGATGTATTTGAACAGCGAAAACAGGCCCAGATATGGGGATCCCTTGGAGATCCAGGTGGAGTGGCAAGGTGTGCCAGATAATTTGGATACTTACCTGCACTTGTGGTACCAGAAAACAGACACCTATCCCAGCACTATGGTCAATGAACAGCTCTTTATAAAAGGTAAGATGCCACTTGTTAATCGGCCTTTACTTAATCTTACTGAGAGGTATTGCTTGGTCAAAAGTTACTGTTTTTTTTTTTTTTTTTTTTTTTTTTTTTGAGTAGTAGCAATAGTAATAGTAGATGTAAAGTAGTAGTAAAGTTAGAGTTTTAACTATAATCTCAACTTAAATGGAGTTTTAAATAATTGGATGAATTAAAACTTGGATGATTTGTGTAGCGTTTATACCGTTGCCAGCTTTGTTGTATGAAGATGATTATATTTCAATAAATCTATGGTTTAGGAGACACAGTCTACGTGTATGACCCAGCTGCCGACAAGGTGAAGAACACAACGACTATTCAGTCCAGGTTTGGACACGCCATCCCCAACAACCTGGATGCTGCATGCTTTGAGAACAGAGGCAGATCCACAGTATATTTCTTCAAAGGAAAAATGGTAAGACTCTTACAAATCTGTTTTGATGATAAACACTACCAATGAAAGTTAACTATTCAATGCAGGGGCGGATGCAGAGATATTTTCTGACAGTCTTCCAAATTATCTTTGTTGATCCAACCTCCATTTTTGACCGTCTTCTGAAAACCCGTCAATGAAAACTTGAAAATCTGACCGTCTTCCGGAAGACCCAGAAGACGGCCTAAATCCGCCCCTGCAATGATTCAGAATGTTCTTAAGAGAAACAAGATATTAGCAGCACAAAGTTTTTCCATATTGGCGAAGCATGCAAGTATTTTTTCAATACATTAATAACTTCAGATCAGTGGTCTACAGAGGATATTTTAAAATTTTAATTGTGCATATTTATTTTATTTCATTTATTTATTATTCATTATATTATTATCATTATTTTATTTATTTATTTTTTTGCATAACAAACTTTATTTACTGAAATAGTAAATTCCACTTTTCTCTCCTTTCTTTGTAGGTGTACACATATAACGTGCATACTGGAGAGGTGACTACGAAATCTTTTACAGAACAGTTTCCCACCATGTCAAACAGTGAACAGCTGACTGGCAATATTGATGCATGCTACTACTCCTACAACACAAAGCACCTATACTTTATAAAAGACGATAAGGTGTGGCAAAATGAATGTTTTGATGTGAACCAAACACAAATCACAAACTGTTTAAGGTACATAAACAAGCGCAGTCATCGATGGAGATATCTCTGCGAGGTGTGATTGGACATGACAAGGGTGATGACAAGTTTGAATCTAGTATTGTTTTGCTGAGTGCCAAGACCCCAGTGTTTATGATGTTTTATCAGAGAAAATTTATTTATGTATTAATATTAAAAAGCCAATTGATAACAAAAAAGATAATTAAGCGTCAATGTGACTCTGGATCACACAAAGATGTGAAAGTCGTCCTATGAATTGTGAGCAGTTGAATACAGGATGTATAGTCCATGATCAGCATACAAACACATACACACACAAGGAAGGACATTTGTGTTCCTTACAAACTTTCATAAAGAAAAGCAGATTCCTATGTAAAGCAAGACTGATGCCTCTTGAACTTAAAAAGCATGGACTTTTCAAGAAGGACACATGGTCATAATCTACAAGGAAAAATGTCTGATAATGGTATGCTGAATATGCTGAAGAGAGAGTATTATATTTTTCTACTAAATTATTAGTGATAGTAGTAAGGACTTCTAGTCTGAGTTGTAAAGTAAGGCAGAATAAACAATTTTTGTATGAATACTAATTTTTTCAACTTGAAGCTAACTTGCTTTAAAACAGATAAGTGCATATCTTTTAGCAGTAGCAACTGTTGTCTGTCAAGTCAAAGATGTACATTTCTTATGTGCAGTTTAAATTATTACTGCTGAAGTAAGGTGTAAAGCTTATATAAGTATTGATCATTTTTACAGTAGGTGATTAGGCTGCTGAAGTTTATCATCAACATATCGTTTAGTTATAATGTGTGTGGTATATGATTATAACTAAATAGTTCAGATGCTGTTTTGTATTACTCATAATATTGTGCTATGCCAGTAGCATTGACAATACAAATTTAAGATTTTGGAGGTTACATGATAAACTCAATATATATATATATATATACCTAATGTAATATAACTACCAAAAGCAACAGGGATTAGTTGGAAAGGTGATCATTGTACAGTGTATAACTAGTCTATACAGGCAGTAATTTTACACAAACAACAGAAAAAAAGAAATTTTTAAATTAAAATTTGCATCATTAAGCTTCATTTATATTTATTTTAATGCTGTATAATGCAAAAATTAAAAAAAAAATAAGTAAAAAAAATAAATAAAATGCTGTGCAGATATAATTCTAACCACACTGTATTTTAGAAGAACTTTGAAAAAGTTTGAACTTGAGGCATCTTAGCAGTAGATATTAGTGTCTGTTGTGTGGGCCCTGCCCCCCAAATCTTCTCTGCCTGTATGCACTAGTCAGTGGTGTAGCAACTAGTCACAGGTGTACATGTTGCAATGTACAGAATTTTAGGCATCTTTATTATTGATACACATATATGTGAGCATCCAGAACTGTACATTATATTTTGCCAAATATGTTTGTGCTATCTAATTTATGTAGCGTATTTGTCTGTGTTTCTTTTTAGTCTGTTTCTTGCTCTATATTTGACAAAAGGTACCATGTGACTGCTCTTACTCTGTAGTTCACAGATATGGCCTAGCATATCATCCCATTATGAACGTCATTCTCTAAATTATTCTCATCAAAATGAGGGAATATATCCTCTGTAGAGAGCCATTTTTATATAATATTAAAAATCACTTCATGTTCTGCACCAATGGAAGCAATAAAATGTTTTGTTTCAAAATAAAACTGCTATATTTTGTTATTTCTTGTTGTATTGTTGTTGGTCTTGTCAGCTAACTTGTTTCATAGCAAAGAAAGCAACCTCGGTCTAAGGACTGTGTAATTGATCAGCAACAATTGTCCAACAAACTACTGCAAGGAAGCTCAGAAGAAATGCCAGAAGACGATATAAGTGTAATAAATTGAAGTTTCTACATAAATAAAAATGCACATGGAAGTACTGATCTTGAATAATATTCTAACAAAACAAAAACAAATTTGCCTTTCATGTAATGTAGAAATGAGAAATCTGAATGATAATATTATTTCCATCCTATTTTAGTCATGGTTTCAAAGATAATCAATATAATGAGCTTATGATTTCGCCAAGCCCATCTAATAAACAATTCAACAGAACAGACACACAGTCAAATGATTTAGGTTAAGGTCAGCTACATCAGAAAATCAAAATTTATGAAAGAACATTTCTATCAGTTTCTCCAACATTAGAAGAGATACATGCCAAAATAGGAGCAATGTAGAGCCTCTAACCCACTCTACGGGTGCAGTTAATGACCTGCAAATAAACTGATTCTTTTGTCTTGTTGTTTTATGAAAATCAGATCAAATGTATACCACACAAAATCTGCCAAAAAGGATGAACATCTTTATATTTACTGGTGAACATTTTTAGTTTTATCCCCAGACAGCTGTACTTACTATTATGCACTTTACTCTTGTGCTTCAAATTTTTTATGTTAAAATATTTACTTAACTTTTTTGCAAGAAAGCATTATTTAATGTTTGTCAGAGGTTTATACCTTAATCAATTGTGATTTTATTTTTTCTAAAAGAAATTTAACTTCAATCAGTGTCAGAATGAATCATTCATTTTGTCCTTAAAGTAACATCAAAACTACTCAAATTAGAAAGCTAACTCTTTCAGAGAAAAGAGTCCAATTTTATACAAACAATAGTTATCATAACATTTAAATTATTTTTTTCATTTAACAAAATTTCAAAATCAACTTTAACTTAAATCCCTCAGCAGTATCTAAAAACAACATGCACTTGAGGCGACTTCTTTAACTAACATGCATGACCATCTTGAAAAGTGTAGAGATAGATAGATAGATACACATGTAGATAGATAGATAGATAGAAATGGAAATGAAACCTAAGAAAAGGTACCTCAACTAATACACAATTAATCATTTTTGATCACTGAAGTGAAGTATTTAATTTAATTGAAATGGAAGGTGTTTGAAGTGATGTTTCAGATATATTTTACAGTATATTAGTTATCAGCAATGATGTTAGACTGCCAGTGGCAGCCATTTCTAAACTTATATCACTAAATAAATCTTTTTGCCAGCTATCATATTCAATTGTTCAAACAATGCTGCACTGTGGGCACCAAATGATTCCCTTTCTTTCCCTTTCATTCCCTTTTCAGTTTTTGTCATACTGTGTCTATAAACTAGGAAACACAAGAACAGGTCCCCATTGTTACCAAACCATTGCTGTCCTTAATACATATGTGACTGCAAACAAAATGATTTTCTGCATAAATCGTGCTGCATACTAAACTTAATGATCAAGAAACGTCTTGGTCTCTCATACATGAATGCAAACAGGGTGATTCTGTGCATCAACGTGCTGGGTAAATCATCCAGAAGATAAGGTGGACTGGAGTATTTGCTGTGTAACCGAGTCAACTGTAAACACCTACCTACTTTAACCTCCCTCAAGAGTAGTGCTCAAACTCTAAACAGGCATAAACTTTCTATATGGCTTCTTCTATGGAATGTACCGTTAAGTCAACTTTGTACACGCACCCCTCTCTAATCGCAGCATAGGAGGCCAATTTTTTTTCTCTCATCATAATTGTGGTGTCATGTACACTGGCATTATTAACTGGTCTGCCAATTCCTCACATATCACTGATACTTAGAAGAATCCTGAAAACTGTCCTTGTCATTATCTTGGAAAAATATGTTATACACATTGATCTGAACCCAGTCTTCCTTTTTGCCTTCTTCCTCCCTTTTATAAATAGGAAAAAGAACTTCTGTGTCCAGCCTCAAAAAAAGTTCATGTTGTTACAAAATTTTCTTTCCTAATTTTCACACAATCACTGAGCCAAAGCTATAAGTGAAGATGTGAATTCTGACTTAGTTTGAACACACTGATACTTTTACCTTTCCTGATGCTCCATTATATCTCATAAGTACAGAATCTGTGCCACATTTGCATGCTAACTTAACATTAAAAATTAACAGAAAAACATACTTCATATTATCTCATTTGGAAAATGGGCTTTCATATGGAACTGATGTTTTTTTTTTTTAATTGTCCCTGTTTGAAATCAGTCAAATTCTTTCAGGTGTGCAGAGCCCTTGGCATCTATCTGAGTTTGCGTTAAACTTTTCCTCCCTTTTTCATAACTAAGAAAGACAAATATTAGTCTGTTGTTCTGAAAATTACTTCTAAATGACTTAGTCCAGGAATGTGCAAACAAATTGTTTGATTTTATGATTTGCAAGTTGATATCAAACACTTTTGGCTGGCTCAAATTGGTTCAACAAATAATTCTGGTTGCATTGAGAAAACAGCCAAGTTCATCAAACAGTTTTGGAGGTGATTGATTAGATAAACAGCTGATTACTTTCAAAATATTTCAGGCAACTACATTCTTGTACAACAGCATGTGTAAAATGTTCCCTATTTATGATTTGCACCTAAGTTTGGTACAGCTCACAAAATCCAGAAGTAATAAAAATGGAATATGTAATGTAACAAATATTCTCAGAATTCACTATCTTTACAGGTTTTCTTGAATTCCAATTTCAATATAAAAATAGAGTTATGAAATAATATTCACTGATACAGAAAAAAATAATAAGCACTCTGACTATCTAGCGATATTACATTGCTGTGTAAGCAGGAGAGGAAGCCGAGAGATTCCCATGTTCTCCAGGCTGTAGAAGTCTCCAGAAGACTTATCAACCAATTAACCCCCTCAGAGCAAACACGCTAGCACAACACTCACATTAATGAGAATTAGGTGAAAATGATGCGGCAGCTTCAAAGAGGGAGTCCCCTAAGCTGCCACTTGAGAGGCATCTCTTGCGGAGATACAGGAGATTTGTCCCACACGAGGACTCCATGACGATGACAACATGTCACACTTCAAGTCATGTGGACGAGACAAGAAACATATACAGTGGGTGGATGACACAGAGACATAAGGGGGAGGCTGAGTGCAGGAATGTTAATCCCTAGGGGTCAAAAAGGATGCAGTATAGGTGTGTGTGTGTGTGTGTGTGTGTGTGTGTGTGTGCTATTGGTCTTAAGGGCCAAGTTCGTAGACTAACATACAGTTAAGTTACTATAGGAGCATAAAGAAATGTAATCTTATTTACAGGAACATCCCCAGGCCTGGCCAGGGTCAGTTTTAGGTTGCTTGTGTGTTAATTCGTTCTCATGTTTGTATCCTTTGGTACCTCTTTATAAAGAATACCATGTTTTACCACAAAATGAAATTTCAAATCAAAAGGCTTCCTTTTTATGATTTCATGAGCAAAAACCAGAATTGTGTACATTTAGACTGCATTTCCATTTAACGTCAATATCCCCTTTCCCAAAACGGATGCATAGGACATATATCCAAAGCCCAAGAAGCCTCTTTACTTTACATTAATTTTTGCTAATCAGTTGTACCTAGCAAATGCATGTTACTTGAAAAAAGTTAATTTTAACAACTAATCAAAAAATCGCTGTTTAACTTTCTGTAAGTGACAAGTTCAGCAATGACAGCACCATAATTTTTTTCAATTAAAGGAGGATCAAACATCTGATGGGACACTCCAATAATATGGCAATGAAGAATGAAAATGTGCACCCCATGAAAACACCTCCTTAAAGCAAAGTATTATTATCTATGTAATGTTTACATCTGCAGGTATATTTACTACTGGAAAGTTCTACACCCACGCATCTGGCATTGTCTTTGTCAAGAACTTTGCTATCATTTGAGTATGTTAACATGGGTAGAACCATGAACTTTTCACATGATAACATGTAAACAGACAGGATAACAGTGATTCTAACTTTCTTTAAACCCCACCTTGAACAGAAACCACCAAAAATGAAATCTATATCTGGACTTGAAGGTACTGTAAACACATAAAGTAAAGTTGAATGAGAGGTGTAAAACATTCCCGCCATCAAGGTATCAGTGAATCAACATGGGAATTGTATTTTTTTTCACAGCAATAACAGACAGAGCATCTAGATAAGACCTGAACTTCTCAACTTCATCTGTGTACATAGCATGAATGAAAGTAAATGTGGCTGTTTGTGACAGGGCTCTATTTGTCACTGTTATCCATTTTACAAGATAGAGTGGGACATCAGAGGAGACAGACACACTTTTACACTTGTTGTCCTTAAGTGCTGTTTACATGGGTTATCAGGATTGGGGGCAAGATTCCCTTGGCTCCGTCTGAAGAAGATGCAGAAAAGTTTCCATTTTATTGGATACAATATATGTCACTCACTTTGTCCCAGACATAACTTTTTTATGGATAAGCAAAAAAAGTATACTTTCTTAAAGGGTGCCTTGCACCTTTCTGATAAGACCATCCCTGAGGAAGTTTCTTTGAAGTTCCTCAAAACTATCAGTTGACAGTGATACCAGCAGGCACTTGCCAAACATTCCCAATCAGTCAAGTATCATATAGGAAGCATAATGTTTCTATTATACTAAATGTAAAAATAGTTATTTTGTAACTTATTTATCTTCATTTTAAGTAAAAAATGCATTGTGGAATTCTCTTCCACATAAACAGCCATTCCCTTCACAAATCACTCTTCATTCCAGCTAATTAATCTAGTCAAAAATTCCACAGACCTCCCAAAATAGTGACTATAAACCATTATGCAACGTTAGAGCCACAAATGAGGCACAAAATTCCATTTCAGTACTTGGAACTGCCACCAGTCATTTTCCCCTTTATCAATGTGAATATATGTTAAAGATATCCCCATTCACCAGCTGTCCTGCTCTGTAGGTTGAGAAATTGTCACATTTATTCTTCTCATGTTAAATTTTCTGTCATTGATTTATGCACATGTAGACCTAGGACAGAAGATTTATTTTGGGTCCTAGTGTAGATATATATACAGGTCTACCCAACTACCAGACTCGGCATCGAATGATTCTGAATTCACCAGTAGATCGGACCACACTACCTGTTTTTAAGGCCTGCATCAGTATCAGACGCGACACCGCTCTTGCCTAGTATGCGATGTGATAGCAATGATTCTGAGCGGGGTAGGAATGTAGTGCCGAAAATGAGGTGCAATACCCGGATGACAGGATGCATACTGACACACACATTGAAAACGGGTAGTGTGGTCCAATCTACCAGTGAATTCAGGATCATTCAGTGCCGAGACTGGTAGTTGGGTAGGCCTGATATATATATTATTTATTGGTCACAATAAAAGGATATACGTGAGATGAGATTATCAATGTTATGTAAGCTTCCCAGGGAACTTGGCTCTTATAAAATAAGCTCCAGATGTTTCTTCCCTAATTTCAGTCAGGATGTCTCCTCTTTGTTTTTCACACTTAGACTTTAATTTTTTTCCAAGTACCCTTCTCCAGGACACAAACATACATTAAAACATTAAAGAACAAGAACTCTGATATTAGCAACAATTGGCTGAAAACAACTATCAAGACAAATTTGTAATATTGACAAAGTTTTTTTTACAAATATCATGAAAAAATTAGATGAAGCGGAATTTAAAAAAATCAAAACCAGCATTTAAAATCAAAACTGATTCACTATCAATAATAAATATGTATATATTCCCTGCTGTTGAGCATGGGTTTTATGTCACCAAGCCTAAAAGATGAAATATAAGAAAAAAATGCACCTCCCGTATCAGGTTATTCTAAGAGTAGCGCATACAGTCAATATTATGGGCGCAAGTGTTGCCTTATGATTACTTTATCAAACATAGAGGATTGGTTTATCAGCCAAGTTTATCAGTTATCAAGTGTCAACAATTTTCACTTTTTTTCAACATAAAGGGTCTTTCATTCAGTGCTGGGACACATACAGGGGCAGGGGTTAGCACATAGGAAGAAAAATGAGACAGAGAAGTCTGGACTTGTCTCCGTTTTCTCAACCAAAAAAAGGGGGGAACAAAATTTGAGATCCATTATGTTAAGTGAGTGAGTGAGTGAGGTGGTTAAAAAAACATCCTGAGTTATTAATAAAAATCCATCCATCTTGTAAAATCTATCTGTTCATTATTCATATTCTAAAAGTAAACCAGGAAGATACTTAATTCTCCAGAAAAAAGTCATTTTTACAAATAAGATCTTTTTTCACAATAATCATTAAATCAGGCTTCAAGTTATCTCTGGCAGTCTTACAGCCTTGTAATTTAATTAACCATAACAGAACTGTTAAATCATGCTGTGGGGACTCCATTCTATCCGAACCTTAGAAACTCCTGCAATGAAAAAAGCCTGAAAGCAGCCGCCTGCAACTGAACAAACTCTTATCAAAAACTAGCTCCAATTAGCAGGAAGCGAAAAATGAAATAGAACATTTACAAAAAAAAAAAAAAAAAGAATAGAAAAATGTCCAGGATTACAAATAAGAGGAAACAGAAATTGCTTTCCCATCCTTTTGGTTTGTGTTCAGCTATTTTGCTGAGTGATCAGGGTCATTTCAGCTGCTTTCAACTGCTTTTTATGACTGACCATAGAAAGGCATTAGTATAATCAGATCATTTGGGGGTCTGAAAGAGAAGGTGTGCTTTCCCACAATGCCAGGAGGCTCACGAGGGAGATGGCACTCCTGGATGGATGCCTGTCCTTTCTATAAAAACAGAGCAAGAAAAGCTTTGAGAAATGCTATGAAGTGTTTTTTTAATATATATATATATCTTTGCAACAACTTTGTTCTACATCTTGAACACTTTCAATAGACCGTAAAATCATTAATAGTACAAAATACAAACTTAAGTTAATAGCAGTGTGCACTAAAAAACAAAAAGCTGAAAAAAACTGTTGCCAACAGTTTCTGTACTCATGCAATGTGTGAGACAGCCCCTACAAATGGCCCCTTAAAACACAGAATGATATATGCATGACCGCACCAATTTTTTATGTGCTAAGCATATGAAAACCATGACTGATAATTTAAAGTGACCAGTAACTTCAAATGAACATTTTTAACTTCTTAATACACACCAATGATCAAAAAGATTTTAAAGAAAAAAAACTATTTCTCACAGAAAAAATGCTCAGCATCTAATATATTTCTCCTCTTGCAATTAGAAAGTCCTTGTCTTAAATATATGTGCTTTCAAATATCTTGAGAATTGAGATGTCAAGAGTTCCCACATCTTTCCATCAAAGATTAGATGCTACAAGAAATTCCAAATTAAGCCACTTTGTGTTTGTCCTGATCAGTTAGCTGTCTACTCCATTACAATGTACCTATAAACCCTACACAGGTCCATGCTAATGTTCAAGTTGGAAACCCAACTAAAAACCATTTAGTCTGCCTTTTTTCCACCTCAGTGGAGGCAGTCATTCAGTGGTGTGTGCTGCTATATTAAAACAGACTTTAATTGCCTTATCAGTACTTAACTCATATAACCATAGTAAACCTTCCTTTTCATTTATTTTAAACACCATTGCCAAATACTCAAATCAGTTAAACTTGCACTAGGTTAAAGCAAAATTCACTGGTATCTTGTTTGGGCATAAACCTCCTAACACAATCTCCCTTTATCATAAATGTTTTTTCTACACCAATTTAAATGATTTAAACACATTCAAGTCAAGTAATGCATTCAGTAATAAAAAATCTCACTTGCTTTTGTTGCCCCCCAAAATCACTTAATTTGTCGTGTAACAGGAAGTATAAGGAACAAAATAACCAGGAACTACTGGTGGCAGTATACGTCATTAGCAGGGATCTTTATTACAGAAAAAACGGTATTGGTGTTTAGCAAGTTCAGGTGTGAGTGGAGATCTTGCACCCTGTTGACAACCTCTGCCTTCTCTTTTTTGTAAACCCTTGAAGATCTCAAATGGCTGCAAATGACTAGAATTTATCGTTTAAATAATATTTAGGCCCTCAAAAGTTTCATTAGGTACCCAGAGATAGCTAAATCATAGATTTACTGTGTTTGTCATCACTTTTCTACAGTTTACTCTTAAATCTATCTTTACTAGCCTATTAAACATATATAAGGCTTTTCACATAACTTAACAGCAGTCAACAAGCCCAGCCTGTTTAAAATGTTTATTGTGACTGTCAATTTATATGAATGAAGGCATTTGTCCAATGTAATTGAGCAAACTGCTACTTTCAACAAACATTAAAAACAAAAAAAAATTGTTTGTAAAACAAAATCACGCACATTGCACTAAGTTGCATTTTCACCTTAAATATCCAAAATAAAACCTTTAATGACATTTAAAAGTTTACTCAATTTGCAAAATACTTTATTGATTGGTTTCAAATCTTCAAAAGTTCCAATATGCAATGACAACTTTCATAATGCATCACTGTATGGCACTACACAGTACTATGGTCTTTTAATGAACCGCAATATCGATATCCTCAATTTTTCTCAAAATAAAATAACTAATGGTATTCACCATTGTCTCAATCACAGATTCACATATGCAATCAATTATGTACTAGTATTCATAAGTCTGTATCCCTGGCTATGCTGTGTTGTAATTGCACCAAGTCCCTCAACACCTTCAGTGTGTTCTGACACCTGTCCAGCAAGGGTCTGCCTTCAGAATCCACGGATTCCTCCACCTGGAGGCTCTTGGCATATAACTGCTTGTACACATCCACATGCTGCTGCTTGCTGAATCAATAAGTTGATTATGTATGAATTATTAGATATCAAAAATTTATGTCCCAAGTGAATTTGAACCAGGGGAACGCAGGATAGAAACTGGTGACCTAAACAGTAGGTCAACAAATGGGAACATTTCAAATTTGATAGTCCTAGCTCATCCTTTTCAACAATAGTTTTATGAAGTTTCACATTTTAAGTGTCATTCTTATATATCCAACTTTTTATCTTATCTCTTATAAGAAAAATTCATAAATTAGAATAAGAAGCAAAGGATTTTAATCAAATGTGTAATACATGGAATATGGGTGACAGATGTAAATATATCTTTCCAAGGTCAGTCGCACCAATAATCACCTTTTCTTATTCTGTGATTTCTGCAGTTTCACAATATTGAGCAAAACAAAGTGGAGTCTTGAGGAAAGGATTGACAATAACTTTTGGCACTCATCAACATATCCCTGAAAGTCGTCTGCCTCTTCCTGATCAGTGATATGTCTCTCAATGCCAGACAGTGGCTCCACACAGTGGAGAATGTGATCCAGAGCAACAGTTAGAGTCTTGATTTTAGCTGGCACACTAGTTTGTCCTGAATTCAAAATTAATATGCTTTAAAATTATTGTTTACTGTTAGTGTTATATCCAAGTGTGACTAGGAGAAATATAACATCCTGGTATTTTTTGCAAAACGCTCTTCCTTAAAAAATCATTATGAATGTTTAATTTTCCATGCATACAAAACATGTAAATAATCAAAAAAAATCTACGAGATCCCCACAATCAAAAGATGTTTCACAAGACTTTTAATTCCCTTTTTGACTTAACTGACCAGGGATGCTTCATAAAGAATAATATAGCCAATTTAGTAATCAAACAAAATCTTGCTACATAATGACAAAAGTTAAGAAAGATATCAAATCATGTACCTGTCAATCTTCTGTAACCATGACTTCCTTTAAACTCTTCACACTTACCATTAAACTGAAACTCGCACATGGCTACCCTCTCTAGCTGCACACGGAGCTGTTCAGACCAGCTGTCCACTAGCTTAAAGAAATGGCTAGCTTTCTCATAGTGCAGCTCTGCCAGGGTACGCAGGTGCTTCTTTTTTTGCTCTGCTAACTGAAAAATAATGAGATGAGAAGTATATATAAACAGAAGTAAACTAAGAATAAAAGTAAAAGTCCTTAGGATTTGGATCGACTAATACTCACTGCTTTAACAAACTTTTCCTCCAATAATTTGAAAAAACAGGATTTTACTTGTGTGTTTTATCATACTAATACTATATTCTTACCTGCAGCCTGGTTATATCAGATATCAAATTACATTCATTTTTCCCAATACAATATGATATCACAAACCTACATATTTATAACTACTCCATCTCATGTAGTTACATATTAGTAATTAGCAAAATCAATGACAAACAATATACAGGGTGATTGATATTTGACCAGTTAAGGTCACTTTCATTCATGCCAAACTCAATTAATATTCGTTTTCTTTATTGTAACTAACTGGCCATGTACATGTAGTCAAAATGGTAATGAAAATGAAACAAGGGAATTATCATGCTATTCAACTACACATAAAGGAATAGTGGTGTTCCAAACAGAGGACTATAAGGAGCCAAGAAGTGGTACCCACCTGGTTCCTGTAGGCATTGTGGTACAGGGAGGCCAGCCTGTGGTGGATGGTGGCTGCCCTGTACTGGCAGGCTGCTTGTCTGGGGGAAGCAGTCTCCACATCACAATATTTCAGAGTTTTTACCATGAGATTTGTAACATCCTTCTCAATCTGAAATCCAGTAAAATGTACAAGGTATGTTTTAAATTGGTTTCCTACTTCTTACTTTAATTGTCCTTTTCAAATCCCCTTTATTAACTGCAATTGGGGGGAGAGGAGGGGAGAGCAGGAAAAATATCTTAAATTTTTAAAAAGATGTCTCTATTTATATCAACTCTTACTGATACAATGTCATTCCTGTGTCAGCGAAACATAGAATTTATGTGACAACTTGTGTAGAAAGAAGAAAAAATATATGTTTACAGGTGTAAAAAGAACAATAATGGTACACACATATTCCTGAACATGTAAATCTGTACCTGTTCCTGGGCCTGTGTAGACAGGGGAGCGTAATCCTGCAGTAAGGAGGCCATGGCAAAGTAAGTACTAGATAACTCCCAGCTCACAGAGTCCCAGATGGTGGGATTCTTTGACCTACTGCTGATGATACTCAGGGCTTTCTTGTAGAAATCACAGGCCTTATGGGAACAAAAGAAGTTTCCTTCAATATACTTCTGGTTTTCAACAATAAAATGGTTTTACAAAGACATTAATCAAAGCTATATATTATGCCACATGATAAAAAGACACATTAACAATCAATTTATGAAGAAAAGAAAAATAATTAAATAGCAATAGCAAACTTATTATCTCTAATTGTCATTAAACTAAGCTAACTCTTAGTCCTCAACTCACTTTGCTATAATAAACTCTCTCTTGAGCACTGAACTCTCTGCGCTGTCCACCATCGACATATTGCACAAAGGCCTGAGCACACAGTCGCATTAAACGGCCTATATTAGAAGTGAGAAGTGCAATGTTTGCCTCATCACTGACACTATCAAACAGCATGATGCCCCGTTCAAAGCAGGTCTGGCTGGTTTTCCAGAGGTCTTCAACTTGCTTCGATGGTCCTTCAAAACCTAAAACAACAAGAGAAGATCCTGATTAATATATTTCAGAGCTTTTATAGTATCTTCTGCTTTAGACAATGACAGAAAAAGGACGCCATACAATATAACAGAAACAGAAAGAATTGAGAATTAAATCAACAATGAATGAATAGGACAAAGTTTGAAAGGAGAATTTAGAGAAAAGTAAAAAGAGACTGAGACATCAGCTCAGTTGTATGTCTCATCAGCAATGTACTGTGTGCCCTCACTATAAGTATAACCCTAACTCACTTGCTTCATTTGTTAAAACTGCTGCCTGGTTCATATACAGGACACCAAGTTCATTCCTCACATTCCCCTGCCGCTTGATCAGACTTTCCTGTTTCTCTGTATTATTGTATCTTTGGGAAATCTCTAATGCCAGCTGATAACAGTGCAGAGCATCTGTTAAATTCTTCTCTGTGCCAGAACTGAACTGACACGCCCACTCAAAACCTATATAAAAATACATTTGGAGTAAATGGAAAAATACAATGGAAATGTAACTTTCTGGAAGTCATGTATGTACTTTGAAACTGCAAATTCTTTTCAAAATACTTGAAATGTAAGCCACAATACAGGGTTCAAAAAGAAAGTTTAACCAACTAATTCTGAGTTAAGTAAATAATTAAAATAAATCAGCAATCATAATTTTAACAGGTAATTTTTTTTACTGAATATTTACCTTACAGTCAATACTTACTAAACTCTTGCAGCTCTAAACTGACACTTTCCAAAATCACAGAATCATACTCTGACATATATCTGTATGCTTCTTCATAGACTTGTAACTGGTTGACATTCTGTGTCAGCATCAGCCTGATGTCACCTGTCAAACTGTACATCATCTCCAATAGGGGGTCACTCTCCTGACCCTTCTGTGGACACAGTGTGCGCATGGCATCTAAAAAAATGAAGGTTGGCTACACAGCATACACCCAAAAGAATTAATTGCCGTTTTTGGATGTATTTATGTCACACTTATGCACAAACACTTATCTCATTTAAAACTCTGCCACTAGAGTGCATAATGAATTACATCTTAAATATTTTCTTAAATCTTTTCCTGTTTTAGAAATTTTTTTGTTTCTTTTACTAGCACTTTTAAAATATTTATTCACACTGCATTGTAAAGTCTACTGAAAAAAATTTGGATTTTAGACTCAAAATATATATTATCACTATTATCATTTTACAAATATTGAAAATCTTAACTTACCAAAACAAAGTAAAGCCAGTCTAACATACTTCAGTGCTTGACCATACTTAAATAAAGAGTTTTTAGCATCAGCTATACTGTAGTATGCCAGTACCCCTTTTCTCAGAAGTAAAACTTTCGAGTTGTAATGCCATGTTCCTGGGGAAACTGTCACTTTTACTTTGTCTTTTTTCAATAAAACTAAGCTGTCACTTCTTTCTCTTGACTCTGAACTGGCGAAAGAATCATCATTCTCTTTGTCTTCATGAACAAAGTCAGGTTTGAGATCGAGTTCACTTATTGGCTGATAGTGCAGTGGTATGGCTTGATATGGGTTGCAGGTTTTGGGAGCCATACCATGCTCTTGCATCTCTCGTCGCTTTTTTATTTCTTTAACTTCACTGTCTATACATTTTAAACCCTAAAACAACAAAACCATCAGTGAATATATAAACAATTTTATAAAAATAAACTCTTAAAGTTTGTATTGATCAATCTAAGGCAAAAAAGAGAACAAGGATGAATCATTTATAGACCTACTAAAAAATAAGAGGCTTTTTCCAGCACAAGTATTTCATTTGATGATATTGTTTGACATTCTCTTAAGTGGTAGAAAGCAAAAAAAATCTTCTTATGGTTATTATATTCTGCAATATTTAAAACTATAACACAGTGAAAAAAAAATACCTCAGCAATAAACTTCAGCCCCTCCAAGCACCTGTCTTCTACATTTCCACAGACTGGTGGGAACCGCAACACTTCATTGACATCATTCTTCTCCTTCTCTGGCAATCTTAAGGTCTTCACTGCCACTGATGTTTGTGCCTTCACAGTCTTTTCTTCATCATCATCTTCATCTTCTACCCAGCCCTAAGGAGTAAAAATCCAAGCCATACATGGCCAAATATAATTTTTATTTAAAGTACTTGCAAATTTTATCTTAGTGATGCCATTAAGTTGAGCTACAACTGACATTTTCAAAGTTTCACAAAAAATCGAATTTTAAAATAAAATAATGTTATTTTGTTACATAAGTTGTTTACTGGACTCAATGACATGTTAATTAGTGAACTCCAGATGCTCACATGTGGCTGTTGTTCCTCCTCACAGTCAGACTCATCACTGGAGACCAGATTCTGCTCCTGTACAGAGGACAGGAACTCTTCATTCACAAACAAATCACACAGGATGAAGTAAGCTGATGCAGTCACCTTATGTATATACATATAAAACAATCAAGGGTTTTATCATTTTAAGTAAAAGTTTAGCTCTAAAACTGGGAGTAGAATCTACAAGCACTTGAAAATCAGCAATCACATTATTTTCTATTTTAAACAAGAATAACTTATAATCAATGACCTCAACCTTTTATAACAAATTTGATGGTGATGAAACATGGTAATAAATAAGCCTACATGGCAGTGCATTTCCTGTTATTATGAACTATTTTCAGCTTTTCTTAAATAATGATCATAATAGGATATACTGGTAAATCTTGTACTACAACCACATGAGCAACACGCTAAGCATGTATCTCTAATTAAGATTTACAGCAGGCTATACTACACCTGTGAGAACTTGTCCCTGTCTAACAATTTCAATGCATTCTTCAGCAAGGTTCTAATTGTCCCCGACTTCTTCCTTCCACTACTTTGCCACATGTTATATGCCACCTTATATAGCAACATACCAACAGGAACAGTGAATGGATTGTCCATTTTATCATTCATGTCATCTGCACATAATGTTGTCAGGTCGTACAACTTAACTACATCATTGTCAGTCTCTGGAAAAACAAATTGGTGAATAACTGATCATGGCCATAACAGATTCAGACTACATTTTAATTCAGACCACATCTTAAAAGTATAGAAATTTCAAAGACAAGAGAACCAAAGTGTGTGTGCTTGTGAATATATGCCTGTGGATTGTTGCTTGCTAGTATTCAGGTGTGCACACACATGCAGCACATGCAGTGTGTATTTGTGCATGGGAATGTTTGTTAGTTTACCTTCTTTATCAATAAAGCTTTACATATCAATGAGGCTAAAACAAAATATCAGATACATTTAACAGCAGTCTCCTCACCTTTAAAAAGCCAATAGGTATGTCCCTCTTTTGTTGCATTAGACTTGAGGAATGAAAGGATATTCTGGGCTATGTCCTTCACCACTGTAGGGGAGAATTTGGAACTCTCTAGGTTTGGGATTTCTTCAGTCTTAAACAGCTCATATTTCTGCACAGGAAAGCTTCACATTTAGTACTTTTTTTCATTTTTGCATGCACCATAATACAAACTTTTCTGTTGCTTGGGTAAAATATAAGTTAGTTTTTACTAAAAGGTACTGCCAGTCATTTTATCTTTCTTCCATAATGGGGAATAATTACATATGATCCCAGAAAATGTAACAAATTTACCACCAAGAGATATAAAACAAATCATTTAACATCACCTGTACAATACCATCAAGATGATAACACATGGCCAGCTCTGGTACGTTACACATCAAGTTGTCCAACCAATAGTCTATCCCTGTCAGCACATTGATGGGTTTACTGGTATCTCTGGTAGAATTTAAACAGTAAAATTTAATGAGGCATTATTATGACAGAACTGTAATACTGCACAATAAGATCTGTTCATGTGCTTTTAAATATTCTTTAAGTCCATTATAAAGTATACATTCTCTGTATCTTAAGTTTGATGCATTGTGTGTTACTATGGTATTGCTATTGTACTACTATTGCATTACTCAATTAACTGTGACAGTGTGCGCTTTCTTTACCTTAGTCTTAAACTAACACATGGTCTAGCTTCACCTCCAAAGATGGGAAGATCTGTTCCAATGAGCATACGAATGTCCTCAAAATTCCAGATGACAGTGCGCTGAAATTCTCCATTTCTTGGCTGTAAAAATCAACAGTGTTGAAAAGAAAATATCTGAATATATTTTTAAAAGTGCTTCTTTTGTTTTTAATTCAATCTAGTCATTATTAAGAGATAAAAAAATAATATCAGTACTAAGATACAAGGGAATAATTTGGAACAGGAAATTTAGATTGTAATTCTACATTAGTGCTGACTGTGCTGGAAAGTGCTTATGTGGCTAAGAAAATTCAGTTTGACTAAAAAATGACAAAAAATACTGAAGGGACATAAAAAAGAAAAAATCTATTTATTTAGAATTTGTCAATTTTCTCTCATGATCTGGCAGAAGAAAGAACTTTACCTATCTACTCACTGTTCCTATAGTGGGAGATGAGAAAAGCTTTTTGCAGAAACACCTTGACAGACATATTAAACAAATACCATGTCAGGCACATGTACTGACCCTTAGAGTGCTCAACTATATTAAGGTTGTTGCTAAACACATACTGGGGTTACCAAATTCAGGCATTTTTTCTTGAAATGTAGCTAACTGAAAGTGCCACAAGGAGAGGGTCAGACATCATGGACAGACACACAGACGATCACATCCATGGACAACTTGATTACAATACACTTCCATACTTCATACTAGGAAATAATTATGCTAGCTTTACCCCAGAAAATAAAACTTATTTCAAAAAGATCTTAATACCTCTTGTTCAGATTCTGGCAGCAATTGCTTGCTTTCCTTCCCCCCTTCACTGCTATGACCACTATTATCCTGTATACTAAGGAGGAAAGTAAAACAATGAAAAAATCTGCTCTGGGTCAAAATTAAAACAAGCATATAACTTTGTTTTTTTTTAATGCTTCTTAAACAGCAGTAAAAAAAAAAACTATGTGCTTCCAAATAATCTGAAGCATCTACAAAAAAAACTTAATAACATATGTCAACAGGCAGCTTAGTTTGATACATTACAAGTCAATAATAAAGACAATAAAAGCATTATACCAACCTATAATAAAGGAATTTTGAAAACATATTCCTATTCTGAAGAAAATTCCTACTATTGTTTTTCCTCAAGCAAACTCTTTCCTAAAAGATGAAAATAATGCTTTATGTTAATTAACAATACAAAGCAGAACTAGAACAAAAATAAGCTGTTGTGTTACAGTTTGATCTTTATTAATTATCATTCATTAAAAATCCTTTCTAAAATGACTAGAGGCAGTTTCTTATCACTTTTTTCCCTTCAGTGACAGAATACACTTAAAGCTATTGGACTCCTACCTTTTCAGCCTTATTCTGTTCCACAGTTTCACAGTAGAATTTTCTCATCCATTCCCAATCCTCCTAATCAAAAAAGAAGACAGGAATTCAGTAATTAAGATGTGGATAACCTCTTTATTCCCAATTATCGTTATTTTATTGAGAAATGACATGTCACAATACAAAAGCAAATGATACCTTGTATTAAACTTCGGTATATCACACCTTACACTCTGCCATGTCTAGCAATAGAATATCTTTAAATAGGAAAAATTATTGCCATTATAAATGGTTTATCTTTTTTTGCTTACAGCAATCCAAATTAATACAACTGCTTAACTTCGGACTAAAGGAACTAAGCCATACCTCTTGCTGCCTAAGAAGATGTCTGTGCACATCAAAGTCATCTAGGAGTAAAGTTTTTCCCACCCTGTGTACCATCATGCTCACATGACCCTTGCTGTACGGGAGCTTCAGTAGCTTCTTGATGTTCTACACAGATCAATAAATATACCGTTAAACTGTTTACTTTTTAAAAACACTGTGCACTGTTAATTAATGAGCACATCAATCAGATCACACAAACATTAAAGGGCAATAAGAGCAAACAGCCTGAAAATCTTTTAAAACTAGCCAATTGCCATTAATCAAATTCAAAACCTACAAATAAAACAATTTACAAATCTGGGCATAAAACTCTTACTTCAGAGTCAGAGATGACATCCAGTTCATCCACCAGGTCTGGAGAGCGATGTGCCATTTTGATACTAGAGAACTCGCTCCTCTTCCCCCCTTGCATGTCTTTCACGTAACACTCTTCCTCTGAGCCCCCACGAAGCCAGTTGGAAGGTGGTTCCTTCAGGTCTGTGTTCTTTTGCAGCTGCATGTATGTGGCAGGTGTTTCATAGCGGCAATATTTCACCACTGCTGTGGACTTCACCTCCGTGTCCTTGAAAGCAGTCTGAAGTGAAATTTATCAATGAACAGGGCTGCAGCAGAAGTATTTATTTAAAAAAATTAAAAGGTTAAAGTGGAAATAGTATATTCCCCTGGTAGTTTTATTCATGGCACAATAATGTTTTATAGAGGAGAGGCACACTGTGGAATGGTCCATAAGTAACCATAACCACAGTAACTGTTACAGTACAAATAATTTTCTGATTTTGTGTTTGACAGAGTCAGAGGACGTTTCGCCCCCAGGCTTCGCATAGAAACCAGTCAGATTATTACCCAAACAATAATATGTAAACAAAAGTGTGGAAATTGAAACCTAACGACTTTTACTAAATGTATAATTGCAAACGCTAACATTTAATGTACTGTGCAATGCAGCTTTAACAATGTGATACGCTGGGTTAGAGGCTAGAGCGGATTCGCGTGTGAAGTCCAACAAAAACTCTCATTCAATTCTTATCTTTTTAAACATAGTACTTACGTATCCGTTGTCTGTTTCGGACATTTTTCTGTGGTTTATGGTGTCTATTCATGAACACTGCATCATCATGAATCTTCCAGAAAGTCTGTGTCAAAAACCATGTTATTGCCGGAAGTAGTTTATCTACATTGAGCATGCGCATTTGCCATTAAGACATGGAGTGCGACGTGACGTTGATGTTACTTGTAATCTTTTTATTTGTCGACGTAACAGGTAAGATTCGTTAGTGGTGTTTTGCATCCTTATAAGAAAACCACTAGTTCTGATCTGTGTGAAACATATATGTATTATTATTGACAAATTAAAAACCAAGTCACCCAATATAAACGCTCTGACAGTCTGACATACATGTACATGTACGGTACGTGACTGTACATTATGATTATAACTTTACTAGTTGCCAGTTAGCAGTAATTACTCGCCTTATAATAACTTCTACGTTTACATATATTACTGGGATACAACCTAAGTACATGCTGTTATATATATACTTAGTACCTGAGAATTTTAGGGTCTACATCTTCACAAACAAGATACTGTATAATCATTAAGTTAGGGACCATTCCCACACCCCATCGTACTGTACTAGCATGATCGATCTGTCTCCGAGTGGTTTCTTACTAATTAGATCCTGCAAATACGATAGGTTTATGGGAACCCAGTCTTAGGCATCTAACGACGCATGCAAAGGCAGCTAAGATGTCAGACTGTGTGTATATATATATACATGTACAGTATGTACAGTACACATATACATATAGGACGTAGCACGAAAGTTCATGCGTTAGCACTCCTATTGACGATTCTGATATGCATTGGCTGTGTACAGCTAGTACATATCAGAATCGTCAATAGGAGTGCTAACGCATGAATTTTTGTGCTAACATAGAGGCTGAGGTACTAGCGCGAAATCCATGGGTCAGCACTCCTATTTACACTCACCTTGCCTGTTTTCGGTTCAGGCATGAAGTTTTCTTAGATCTCACTCTTGACAATCCAATTTCAGATGCATCTCAAGAAAGGAAAGTGTATACGAGTCCTCTGCGGGTCCAGCTGGAGGATGGGATATTCATGGAGATACTGGAGCCAGAGAGCATCAGGTTTACATACAAACTGAGACCGGCCAAAAATTTTGGAGGAGTTTTTGTAAGAAACCACCTGGTTACTTTTGATGTGTGACAGTTCTGTTCATTGTCTAAGCCAAAATTGTACCACCTTACATATTTTTTAACTCAGCTTTGCCATGTATTAGCTGCTGCCATCTTACTTCTACCAGTAACCTTACCAAAATATATTAATTTTACTCCTACACTTAACGTGTGGAAATAAAACACTTTTGAATCTGAACATGACCTGCATACAACATTCAATGAAAGTAGATTGATTAACTACTTTCTCTTAACCTTTATATTACTTTCTTCAGAATCAGAGTTTAGCTGGACTCCACCTCATTCCCACCGACCCCATCCATGGATGCAGCCCCCTCAATAAACCTTATCTATTTGAAAACCAAGTAGCTTTAATAGAGCGAGGGTAAGTGTATTTGAATTTTATGTATTGTTTATCTATTAATTTTTAAATGCTGAAAAACATTAATGTAACATTAATTAATGTAATGATTGAAAAAAAATCTCAATTCTTTGGTAAGTGAATATAATAAATTAACATCTTATGAAAGAAAATCTGTGAAAATACCCTTTTTTAAATTTTTTTAATCGACTCATTCTTGCTTTTCTGAAAATGATATGTAACCGGCACAACATATACATTTTCTGATATTACTGCAGCATTTGATTAATAATTGTAAAAACAGGTTGCTGGGCTTCTATATATATATGTTACGTAATGTAATCTGTATTATTTCAGAGAATGCTCTTTCCTAACCAAAGCAATACATGCCCAGCAAGCTGGGGCAGTAGCTGCTGTGATCACTGACAACCAACCAGACAATGTGGAGATGTATATTGATATGATTGAAGATGGAACAAACAGGGATTCTGTCATTCCTGTTTTATTTTTGCTAGGAAAAAATGGGTGAGTGGTTCTCCTTACAAGTATTATAGTCACATTTTATTTTGTTGATGACAACAACAAAAATAATTAGTTTTGAGACCAGTAGGCAATGGATTTAGTTTGAAAAAGACCTTTATTTTTGATAAATTATATTTTGGATGCATTTTTATTCCAGCCTCAGTTTTAAAAGCCCAAGTCCATGTAGATATACCATTTGTGATTCTTTGTAACTGGTAAATTTTCAAATTTCCATCTTTTCAGATATATGATCAGGAAAACATTGCAGCAGGAACACTTAATGAGTGCTATTATCAACATTCCCGTGAACATCACTGGTATCCCAATTAACAAGCTGAACCAGCCACCCTGGTCTTTATGGTGAAATCCTGTTGACAGTTATATTTTAATTGGAGTAAAAACCATTTTTCATTTACTTTTTAAAATCTCACATGTTCATGAATTTGAAAACCTATGCATTAATGAATTTTTTGTGCATTTATGAATTCAGATAATTGTACACAACTGTTCATGATTACTGGCAGCCAGTTTTACGTATTTGTTTACCCACTTTTGAGTAATCGCTGTTGAATGACCCTTTATCATGATATAAGGAAGTTCTGTAACATTTGGATGCATGCTACCTGGAAAATGTTGACTCAGCAGAAAGGATGTCTTAAAAATGAGAATTATTTGTATGGAGGCTGCTCAATGTATTAGTTATGTAATGGACGGCAAAATTATTTGACATGCGATTTGTAAAAAAAAAATACAAGTTATATTTTGGGGAATAATGGTTACCTTCCCTCTATGCAATATCTCTAGTACAGGTCTTACTAATATTAATACAAAGCCATTCTGTATTTATCATGGTTGACATTTCAACTTTAAGCTTAATTGTTGCCAAACATAGTGTTTCACCCCATTTCCATAGATTAGATCAACCTACTTTAGATCAACCTAACTCCCTGGGGGTTCACGCTAAATAGCTGTCAGCCGGGCGGACACGAAAGTTAATTACCCCCTTACAGCTTGTAGTAGGCAGGACGGACATTTAAGTCGGATTATCTGAAAGTAATCTATTGAGACTCCCCGCGGGGATAGATCGATCTAAAATCTATGGGAATAGAGCCTAAGCTAAGGTTAGATGTCTTCTCTACACATTTTATCCTTACGAGTAAAAATAAAGATAGATTGTTATTTTGCTTATTTGCGTTGTGATGCAAAAATGTGAATGAATATATAGAATATATAATGAAGGGTTAATTGAATGTTGGCATTAGACATCAGATAAAAATGTTATCAATGGAGTAGATAAATCTTATAAGTTAATGGACTTTCCTTTTAAACCGTAAAAGAAAGAACAAGTCAACAAGTCTGATTCTGAAATATAAGTAATTCAGTAAATGCACTTCCAATTTATTGTAACGATTTTCTCAAAATCAAAAAAAAGCTCCAAACTACATACATTACTAACATAAATTTATAAAAAATATATTGATTTTCTCAGCAAAAGAAAACTTTATCAAGCAACAATACCCGTTATTCTGAAGGGCACAAGATGTTTTCAAAAATGCCGTCTTAACTCAACTGCTACTTCAATTTAAATCAATTCTTTATTTTCACAATTTATCTTTGCTTTCTCTAAATTCTCTTAAATACTATATAGAAGTTAAAGACAAATAATATTTGCAATATATTATTTACATATTCATTGAATGAAAAGAGCTTATCATTATCAATGCTCACGTAAAGGATTTGTTACATTTTATATACACTGATTTTTCATATAAAATTAAACTTACTTTTAATTACATCACCCTGCACACCAACACTTGCACCAGTCAAAATTTTAATTCACTTTCTCCTGTTAGCAATTAAAATGGAGAGACTAAATTATTTAATAATAATAATCTTTATTGGAGAATGGCAACCCGAAGGTTGAAGTTATACAATTACATATATATATGAATATTTAAGTCAAGGAAGCCTGGTCATTTTTGCACTGGTGCACTCCTTAGACGGTCTCACCTCCCTGGGGAGCATACAGCTCGGCTGCCATATTAGGCGCTCATAGCTAATATAACATTTCTGCACTGCCTGACCATTGACATATGACATATAACGTGTGATTTAGTTCTATACACTTATTTGATAAGTATCACAGAAATGAATTTGTTTAAAAAGAACTTAAATAGTAAAAAAATATTATCTGGTATCAATAAAATGGAAGGAAAGTATCAGTTCTGATCCGTCACTGGTTCCGTCAACTGACAGTTTAAACCATCCCTATGACCTGAAGAGGACGAAATAATACGGTCCAAATTAAGATTCAACTAATATGAAGATCCAAGTGAACAAATAAATCATTTACTATCTTTGCAAAAAGAAAAGAAAAATGAAAAAAAAAAATACTATGGAATTATGATGAATAAAAAGGTGAAGCTTTTTGAAAAAATGTGCTTATTCTAAGGGATCATCAGTCTGAGAATAATTATTTGAGGTGCATGTTGGTGCATTTTAATGCTCGTCTTGCTCTTATGAAATGTATTGTAAATCATTTCACCACACCTGTGCTTTACAGTAAAGGAACTTTGTCATAATGTACTTAAATCAACATCTACAACTTGGTGGGGACTCCTGCTAACTGCAATAAGAACGACAGATGAACACACCTTTTGTTTCCAATGTACTCGTATAATCACCAGCTTTTCTGAATTCTATTCAACCCCAGGAGCATTCAGCGAGAGTCCCCACAGATCGATATTGAACGATAGTTTCATTGGGAATGGGGCCTAAGGTATTACATAAGAGTAATGACTAACCTTTGTAGAACCAAACCAATTGTTCAAGACTCTCAAATGATCTGTGCTCGCTGATGCAATACATATTGTCTTCTGTCCGCTTAATTTCATAGTGTTTGGGTTTCCAGTGATCATTTCCCACTGGTGAAAACACGGACAGGACACAGCACACTGAAAAGAATACCTACTTTAAAGATCAATTCGCATAATACCTCATCAAACTTCTTCGTAAAAATTATAAGATTTTCTGTTCCCAACATTGTGATTTAAAAATTTAGGGAACGTCTTTCCACTTTCCTAGTATTCTTCTCAAGTCAAAGAATTGAGTTCTGACTAGTTCGACTGAATGCATGTACACATTCTTTCATAAAAATTAATATACGGGACTGAATTGTTGACACACATGGCAGAGGGCCACATTCTGTATTAAATTGACAAAGTATGACAGAAATGTACCATTACCATCATGATCTCCTTTATCTGCTCTACTTTTCTGTCTCAAAAGGTAAGCTCCCTTTTGTCCATGTTTCTTCAATATTTTCTTTGCTTGACGGCGATCACAGCTAAAAAATGCAATAATTACAATAAAGCTAATCATTTCATTTATCTAATTCCATCCTTTTTTTTGCAACTTTACCTTTTGTCATTGTAAAATTTGCCTTTTTACATATTACAGCTACAAGTAAATGATTCCATTTATACCTATAATCTCACTCACTTAGATAAATGAACACTGAAATCTGGTGGAGGAGCCACTTCAAACTCTGCCATACTCTCTGCCACTGCACTTCCTGATTCAGAAATGCTGTGTACTCTTTGGTATTTACTTGGTGGGTGAGACATTTGTCTTGTCCATGATGCCAAGGTACCATTATCTATCACTGATGGAAGAACAGTCTTCGACACTTTGGTAGTCAGGTAGAAGTTTTGGGGAGACGCTCTGCCTGGGTAGCTTGAAGACAGTCTTTCCTCCGGGGATGATGAGAAGTTGCCTGATGCACTATTCTGAGCTAAACACAGGCCTCCAGATGGTGAAGGAGAAACTGACTGTGCTTTTTGTTGAGTCATCACACTTAGCTCAGTGATGGCATACGGCTGTGTAGTAGGCAAACCAGGAGCTGGAAGAGCTGGTCTTTGAGGGTACCTCAATGCTGGGACCACTCTACATTCTTCAATCTCTAAGAAGTTCTTAGGGACATAACCAACCCTTTGGTCTCTATGGTCCTTCACAAGCCACCAATTGAAATGATGACTGTAACATTTACAAAAATGAAGATATTTCCCATGCTTTATCGCAAATATTTTTACACTCCTTTATCAGACCCCTCATAAAATAAACTATTATCCTCAAAATTTGTAGCAATAAGTTTCAACAACCTGATTACATATGAAAATGACATAGATTGGGAAATCGCAGGAAAACAGAATTTTTTGATAAATGATCATTTACAATCTTTTCCAAAACTCTCTCTCTCTCTCTCTCTCTTCCTCTCATTGAGTTCTTCTGTCCTTTTAATAATAATAACATGCACATTTAATGAGAAAATACATGACATGTAACATACCTATCATTGAGAATCTGGAATATATCCCCTGTATTGAAGGACAACTCCCTCTTGTGTTTTCTTTCATATCTAAACTTTCCTTTTGCCATTCTTGCTGTACCTAAAAATGCATTTTAAATCATAAATAAACAAATCTGTACAACTATTGAAAAATCTGACTGAAACAAATATACAATATTGTAATGGAATTAATGGCGAGACATTTGCAACTTCTGTATAACTGTATATGTTTGCTGTACCTCATGCACTACTAGTAAACAGAGAAATAGAATGTGTCTAACAAATAAGAATGAAATTTTTTTTGTAAAACATAGTCTTCAGGAACTACTCCCACATTTCAAAACTTATACAGATTTTTAATACTTTTGGATGATAAGGCAACTCCACTAACATAAAAATAAGTAAGGCAGCTCAAAAGAAATTACTTTACAAAAACTAAGCCAAAGAGGTCCAGCTCGTATAGGAAGACATTCTCATGAAAGGTAGATTTGACATACATGTTTCATAGATATTTTCATGCAACTCTCCAATGTGCTCGCCTCGATGTTGCCTTTGAACATGTATCTTCATCTGTGAGCGTCTGAGGACAGTGGGGCAGTGACCTGTAGGGCAACAGACTTGTGTCTCCTGGCAGTTGAACCATATATGAAGGTCAAGGGCACTGCCCGACTTGGTGCAGGCCCGAGAGCAGTTTGGACATTCTGTAAAATTTTCTGCCCAGCAGAGTTGAGGATCTAAACAAATAATATAATTTGAGTTAGTTTATCAGAAATGTTTTTATCCAGGTGTGAAACTATGAATAGCTTGTGATAAATCATGCACGCCAATTTACATAACACATAAACATGTACACGCTTTATAACTAAAATATCTACTAACGTTTTAGTGATAGTCATAACTAAATTTGGAAGAAAAAAAAGCATTGAAACAGCTACATTTCACTCTTATCACAAGGCCATAATGAGGCTGAATGCCCACAGATCCAGAGGTGTTGGTAGACCTGTGAACAATTCTAACTTGAGGTAGTAATTTCTGCCCATTACCACCTAGAGTGAGAATCATTCACTATCACTAAAATGTTAGTAAATACATTAGTAAATAGAAATTATTAGAACTATTAATATTTTAGCAATCAATGTTATTGATTGCTTAAATATTAGGATTTGCAAATACTTACTTTCAAAATGCAAAGAAAACTAATCAACCTTTTCTCTTGAAGCAATACTTTGTTAGTAACGCCTCAAGGAGATAATTTTGAGTTGACTTTTAAAAGTGCATTTGATGAGAAAACAAAAATGAAAAATCTTGAAATCTTGAAATTAAAATTATTCAACAATTGAGGTATGTGAAACAACAGTAGTAACCATTTTTAAGAGAGATTTGAAAACATTTATAAAGCAGCCAAGTATCATTCTTACCATTTTCCTTACTACATGAAAGGCATGCAAAAAAAAAAAAAACATTATATATGATCCTATGAAACAGAATATGTCATCATTGGTCCATCACGTTTATAATCCACAGCAACTAGGTCTTTTTTCTTTTAAAAATGTTTATATTAAATAAAAATAACAATGTCACGATGTCAATAATGAACCATTTTTTAATTTATTTTTACCTATTAATTTATTTATCTTTGTTTGTTTGTTTGTTTGTTTGTTTGTTTGTTTGTTTGTTTATTTATTTATGTTTTGCAAATACCATTAAAAGTAAAAAATGAGTGAAAGCAAAAACAACCGTTAAAGCTTTTGTGCCAGGTTACGATCCATATATCTCGAATTTTGTAGATCCAGCAATCAATCATAGTACACTCAATCTGTACACTAGAGATATGATTAAATCAATTACCACCTTATAAATAGTATAAAAACAATCTTCTAGTAGATAAAAAGCATTCAGATACATGTAACCCTACCTCAATATGCAAAAATGAAACAACAGATCTAGGTCAAGTGGTACTGTGACAACATACAGGCCAAGGGCCTTTGCTCCAGCTGAGCTACATACTGAATACAGTGAAGTGAGGGAAGGTTATGTTGAATGGAGTTGGGCAATTTTCATTATGCCTTTGTGTGTTGCTGTGGGATGCACCAAGAAAGGCAGCAAATGTGTTTTCTGAAGAATATGCTACGTTCAAGCCATTCTGACTAAATTTGACGCAATTCCTTTAACATGTTTGCAAATTATTAAAATGTTTGAATATTTTTTGCCTTTTCTATATTGCACTTAAACAATCCCTGTGCTGGTGAAAAAAAATTGCGAGAAAACATTACAAATTGTAAGAATTAACTACGTACAGTACAGTAACTTACCTTGTAGAGCTGCAATAATTCTATCCATATATCTATCATCCTTGTCCACATCAATGCATCTTAGGGCCTTCAGTGTCTCAGGTATTTCATGGGGGTTTAAATCTTTTATCACAGGAATGAGCACAATATCATTGGAAGGGTTTTCCATTTTGTCGTAAGCCTTTATCATGGCCACCCCTCTCTCCATCTCACACCACCCGTCCTTCAAAAAGTTGTTAGTTAAATAAAGCAGAACCTTTCTGGCTTCCTTCATAGCCACATCACGGGCTTGGATTTCATTTTGACCAGGGATAATGTCCTTGTGGGCCCGAAAACAAACATAGCTGTGACTCTGTATTTCATTCACCAGAGGCTCCACCAAGTGGTCATCTTCCTCACTACTTGCCACATAAACATCCCAGTGTGGTTGTGCTATCATGCTCTCTGAGTTTTCTGTCACTAGCACATGGGTGAAAGATGTAAAAACTGAAAATTCTGAAAATCTAGCTTGCAATTTCTCATTTCAAGACCATATGAAAAAAACTATTAAAATGAAGACTGAAAATCTTAAAATCAGTCATGATTCCTGAAAACTTTCACCCATGTTAGCAAGATATTTACTCAGAAGCACCCATGGCTGAAATGAAGTAATGGACTAAATTTAACAATTTAAACTATGAAAAAAAATTAAAACACCATCACTACTGGTTTATATGTAAATGAAAGCCATATTTTATGCCACATTTAACAAAATCTTAATATTGTTGATTAAGACAATGATCTCTAGCAAATACTGGTAGTCTTTTAAGTTTAAAAACTGTGAAACCTTTGTGGCTACTTGTAATTTTATATGTATACTGTACAAATTTGTGCCAATACTCCCCCCCCCCCCCTTTGGGGGTATGGTTTGGGGAATATATTCCTTTACCAATAAGATGACATTTATACATGTGCCAGTAAATATACTTTGATAGCAATTATACTAGCTACATCTACCAAAAGTAGTTTACTGGTACTTGCCATCCTGTAAAAAACGTATATAATGGTATCTTCAAAACCATAAAGATATCCCTATGCAAATGCAGACAAAGGGACACACACATTTGCATCTTCTACCACCATATCCCTACTTAATTCAGGAACAAAACTCTTGGCCAAAAACAGAAATTCCAATGATTCATCTTGGTAAAGAATTAAAGCACTCACTTTCAGAGCAAAAGTCACAGATACACTTTATCTAAATCCACCAACCCACTTTTTGTCACAAACCGCTTCCTGTAGAAGTACAACCTACAAACAGTAGGCTACTGTATAACATGTCTACTGCTTATCCTGGTAGGAATTTTGGATAATTCATATGTTTAAAGTAAAGGAATTCTTACACAGTAAAAACATGCAATAATTAAAAAAAAACTTTTAAGCTTAAAAGCTGTCGAGGACAGTCAGGTCAGCGTTTAACGTATGTCCTTATCATAAAACTAAAGGTGACGAATCATTATGAATTAACTCTAATTCCACTTTCGAAATCAGATTGGCTTTGACTAAGAAAAAAATTATAAATATTACTTTCGTTTTCGTGATTTCAACAGTAGTACCAGTAAACCTACCAGTACCAGTACGTCACACGTACTTCCTAGCAGCTCGTGATGCCTTTTGATACAGAATTTAATAACTTACCCTGGCATGTCCAATTACGTTATGTGTGTAGCCAAGATTCTACTGACAAAACAGTCGGTGAGCATGTTTGTAAACACACAATTGCGGTTTTCGGAACAAGATGGCGAACTGATCCTACTTCCGGGACTGAATTCAAGATACACTCAATGATTCATTGATAAGGGATAACCTCATCAAGAACTGCCAGTGCAGTGTTGTCATTGAGACCTTTGGCGCCAGTTTCGAGAAAAAGGAAAATAAGCTACGGTGCAGTACGGCTTAATCTGGCTATAACTACACCGTGTTGCCTTCAAAACTGAGATTGTGTTAGTGGTGCTAGCTCAACACAACTGTCGCATTGTTCACCGGCCGGCAGATGTTAGGCTTGCAATAAAACATTTCCTCAGTCCATCGGGGTTTGTTGTGCTTTTCCTTCAGCCAGCTTCTTGATGTTTCACCGGTGGTAGGCCTACAAATAACCAGCCTATGTGCATTGTTGGTGTATTGTAACTGTTCCACCTCCCCATCTCTCCCCTCCCCACACATAGGCATTTTTAAAACACGTTGTAACACGTACATGTAGGCCTACCAGCCCAAACACGTACAGTGACACAATTTCTTCTCGGTCTTCTCACTTTTCAGCCGGCACATATTGAAATCCACAGAATCCTTGAACTAACTATACATATTTCAAATTATCTTTGATTAGAAAAGCCAAAATTCTGACATGTCTTAAGTCTAAAAATATGGAATTTCGTTCAGATTATGGAACAGTTAGAAGCAAATAATAATAATAATAATAATAATAATAATAATAATAATAATAATAATAATAATAAAGTATTAGGTCTATCTCATGCCCTTCCCGATCTGTGTGATGAGTCCAGTATCGGTAGCATCGCGCGTCTGTAGCCTAGATAGGCCTACAAATGTAGGGCCTATGGCACAGCACGATATTTCGGCTATGTGTCCAATAGCTGGATGAACTGTTACTGGTTTGACTGACTCTAAATTATATTTGGGAATTAGTTAAGTCCCCCATACCTTTAGTAGCTTATTCAATAATGCAGTGTGACAAAATGTTCTCATTGTAGGCCTAGATCTAAGCCTTTGTTAACAAACTTTGGATTAAGATAATTACTCGTTACATGAACTTACATCACAAAACCAAAGCACACGTCAATACAGCACCAGCAACGTTAGGATTATGGCTTTCATCGAATTTTACAATCTAGTACCGAAAGTGTGCTTATGACTTTACAGTAGCCTATCTTACATCTAAAAAAACGAAACAGGACTTCATCTATCCAGATTTTTAGTTTTATAAAATTTTGATCCACAAGCACTTTTGTTTGCATAGAGGCAATGAACATGGTCTTGAACATGGTTAAAAAGAATCATTTTGTTACGTCACGTTTTGCAATCTGAAACCGTAATCCTCTTATGGTTGGTTTTCGTAGGATAATTTGGGTAATCTTTTTCGCTTTCTGTCTTTCTTGATTGTTTCCTCTAAATTGAATCTAGGTTCAGCATTCGATGTCTGACATCCACAGAGAGCAGCGTGATATATCATCACTTTACATGGACAGCAAGGTCACAACTTTTTGTGTCAGTCTGCTATGTGAGAAAGAACGAAAATGAGACCTTTGTTAATTTCCTGAAGATTGTATCCCTCATCTGCTAGGTTTGCGTGGACGCTAAGACAACGCTACAGTCTTGGGTTTTCATCGTGACGTCTGCCCTTGTGTGGATTATGACGTGATTTATCATGTCAGATGCTTGCTTTGTTTAAACTGTTTATTACGTGTCGAAAATGAGAAACTGCCCATGAATCAAGACTATGAAAGTAATACGCGCCTGACAACGTGACTCCGAGGAATGAAGAATAACGAAAAAGCAATCTCATGAAAGATGGCTGCAGGATGCAATATATCTACATGTGGTATATCTCTGGATGTGAGGTATAATCAACAGTGGCATTATAAGATTTGTTTCTGATTTAAAACTGAAGTACTTAATTTAGGAAAACAAATGAAGACACGATTTCATTATTTTTGAGAAAATTAGGTGCTGTCTTTAATGCATAATTTCCATGTTTATATAATATTCGATGAACTGTCTCAAAATGGATTCTCCCAGACTTAGATACATACGCTCTTTAAATCGTGTTAAAGAAAATGAGCTCAATCAAAAACTTGAGAAACTGTCGGTGGAAGCCGACTGTCGTTTGGAAACACTGAACAGACATCAAAGTGATTTCAGTAAGCGCTACGCCGAGCACCTGCCTGCAATGGGCTGCAACAGAAATGAGGACCTTCCGTGTCGCGGCCAGTACCTGCCACCAATACGAATGACTAGCGAGCCCTCGCTCAAAGTACACGTCAACTCTCCACAGGTGGGACGTAAACCCATATCTAGCTACGTCGAAAATTTCAGGAAGAAATCCCCAAAGCTCCCGCCCGCAGTAGACCATAATACGAGGCAAGAAAAGCTCCAAGAACCGACGAGGAATCATACGAGGAACAGGACACACCCTCTGGACAACACCGCAGACAAATTGATGCCCTTGCCCGAGAGAAAAAGACAAGATAGTTTGCGCCGTTCGTGGAGCGATGGGAGTCTTCTAGGAGAAACTGGTTTCTCCCCTAGGCCGTCTACTTCTAGAGGGTCTAACAGGGCACAGTTACTCCGAAACGAAATGACGCTGAAAAACAAGTGTCCGTTGGCGCCTATCAGAGAGAGCACAAAGACTGAACTCGAGAAACACTCACAACAAAACACAGATCAACTGCAAGATGTCTACATAGAACTTTCCGACAATAACTCAAAATCTTCAAGGCTGAAAAGAAAGAAAACTAAACCTAGGATTCACCTAGCTTCAAACTGCGAGGATTACTGTGATACAGATGGACCGAGCGACGCACCAACAGAGAATCCTTTCCTTCAGAAAAGAGTTTATCGCAAAAGGTTTCGGTCTCTAATCAAGGGTGTGTTTGACAAATTGAAAGTGAATAGAATTTTAGAGCAATGGCTGGAGGAGGCGGAGGAGAGGGATACAGTGGAAGAGGACCTGTTTTCCGACACTCTCCGTCAAGAACTTGAACGCTGCAGATATCTTCGCATGCCGTACGAGACTGGGGATGACGTTGATCATAATCCTGGCTTAGACTTATAAGAGAATTTGACTTAATATGGCATGGTAAAGGATTACTCAAAATTAATAATCAGCTGTGTGCCATAAGTAGGCAAAATCAAAATCGATGCGATATTGGCTTATTGTATAGTCTGTATATATATGTAGACAAATAATTCGTGAAATGACTGTGTTGCGTGATATAGTAAGCCATATGGTAATTCTAAGTAAACTCGAAAAAAGTTTTTTTTTCGAACAACGGCGTACATGATAGAAAATATATTATATATTTATATTATAGTGAGTAAAAAAAGTGGGGGTGGTCTGTATACATAGGGTGGATGAAAAACCAAAGAAACAAACAAAAACACCCACCGAATTAAGATTCTATAAATTTAAAAGAAACCCGTAATAAAAATACAACAACGTATGTTCTCTAAATATACTGCTTCATGGTAAATATTAGGCTTCTTAGGTTGGATCCTAACTCTGGCACATATATAGACGCAATAGCTTTTATAACATGCTTAAAATTAAAAAATTGCAACGTCTCCTAAAAGCTTATTTAATGAAAAGAAAAGCTTATTAAACGGTCTTCATATCCATAAACTTTTATGCTGCTCTCAGTAACTTTTTCTACAATCACTCATCTTGACCCTTCCACAAGTATGTATTCCTAGACCTGGAATAAAGTCATTTTATTTCCCTCCAGTGTCTCTTCGACCACTGTTTACCATATCTTGGCTAGACAGGCTCCAATGTAGTAACTTTTGATTACAAACAGGGAATTTTCTGTCAATTCTGCCGATATACTTCAAGAATTCAGACACATTTTGTTCATTTAATTACCTTATGTAACTTTCTTGGCGGGGTTTGTTTTCCAATTCCGATTGAAATCATAATAATTAACTGAGCAGAGGACGCAGTAGTCTGGAAGACGGTAATTATCCAAGGGACTGTAAAAAGTTTTTTCCTCATTGCTAGTTTGGACTGTAGTCTTTTTATTTAATTTATTTATTTTCACAGAGTTGTTATAAAAGCCATTGAGTCAAATCTTTTATGTGCCAGGACTACACTTTGTGGTTCTGGTAATAGGAATTTTATCAAATTATACAGGGCAATATTTTGGGAATTAAGATTAAGAGTTCGGTTGATATCTTTTCTTTAGTCTCTACCTGGCAAAATCAATCCCATCCCTTCATAACAAGGCACATTTATTTGTTGCCACGAGCCCTTGCACAATTGTGAGATAAATTACACTAAATTACGTTTCAGAAGTTTATATTACAGAAGATATTAGTACAGGTAAGCGAATTATTCGAGTGAAAATCATTGTAAACGTCTTATAGATTGTTCGACGGGGTGAAGTGTAGGTGCATTTATGATTTATATGATATGATTTATTATGCAAGAGCTGAAGCAGGTTTCTGCCTCGAGGTTATCGGCTTAAATTATTCTTCACCCTTTAAGAAGGCTGTCGCACTTATATTAATAAACTATAGGTAAAAACAAATTAAACGCAATTTACAAACACACCTTTTGGAAGATATTTGTTCTCATATCACTGAACGTAGAATAAAAACACATTAAATTGATGTTAGAATCCGAAGCTTTTGTTGTTACTGAATAGGTTTGATATTACCCCTGGTATGTGCATTGCGCCGGGGATAGCACTTATTAGAAGACCATTCTTTCAAGCTGTACTTTCACGCACACGCTAACTGCATTTTCAAATTGAGGGTCATTTGTCAACTAATTTTCATCTCGTGTATGAAATCCAGCAATGCTATTATTCCCAGAAAGCAATTTCACATATTCCTCAATGACAAGACAGCGATAAGTATCACCAATATTGAAAACTGTGTGTAAGAGATATCTGGTTAACAATCACTGACTTGTGAGATGAGGTTTACCAACTGTACATAATCAAGTCGTTTTTGTTTCTTGATCTTATTTTCCCCAAGATGACAAGAAACATTTTTTCCCCTAAAAATCGTTCTCTAGGAGAAATCCGAACTCTTTGGCAGAAATATTTCACCCTCACTGCATAATGCCTTAATCATGCTTAATAAATGAAAATGATATTCAAATGATTAAGAAAACGTATATGCAAGAAACTGAAAGGCACAATATCTATTCTAAATATGTATTACCTTACATCCCTACGTGTATGGGCGTAAAAAACAGGAATATTTAGAACACAGTATTCATTGATTATACGATTACATAGAATGCTTTTGCGTGTCAACGCGACTTAAAAGGTTCGACCATCTAGAGTAATCTTTCGTAGTAAGGTTGAACTGAAGTCAAATTCATTTGGAGGACAGAAAGTGCCCTGACAAAAAAAAAAAAAAAAAAAA